CAATAAAATTGGAATGATAAATTATTATTTTTCTACCTATACAGTAAATAATTATAAACATGAAAATTCTCGCTGACGCGTGATTCTAGTTAAAATTTTAGCAAGAAATACTAAACAATAATTTGAGTAGGTAAATCATATAATTTTTAAACATATAAAATTTAAATTTGGGAGAGCCGTGCTACGACACGAATGGGTCGGCTCAACCGATGTGAAACAACCACAGCGTTGTGTTTCGCCGTGTGAGTGAGGGTCAGGATTTGGGGAGCCGGTAAGGCCCAATCCTCTCCCTCCCCTGATGATGATGTTGATGTTGATGATAATGATGATGATGTATTGTGTTGTGTACACTTCGTAGAGGCACATGATATTATTGTTTATTAATAGTGCCATTGGTGGTCGTAGTTACTCGGGCCAAAACGTTTTAATGTAGAAAGGTACTTTTCCGAACCCCATATAGTTTCTTAGATTTATTTGTTAAACACCACTGACATAAGGTGAAGGTATACATCAAGAGGGTATATGTACGATTAATATCTATTTATATGACTAAAGTTTAAAATAAAATCAGTTATCCGCCTTGAGCAGAAAATGCGATTGACGAATAATAGAACAAAGTTGTCTTTATTATTTTGTATACTAGTTTTTGCCCGCGACTTTGTTCGCGTAGAATAGTGACTTCCTGCAGATTTTTGGTTTGAAAACTATCCTATCTTTCTCGAGTTCCAAACTATGTCTGTACCCAATTTCACAGAAATCAGTTCAGTAGTTTAGGCGTGAAGAGAAGACAGACAGAGAGACAGACAGAGAGACAGAGATACTTTCGCATTTATAATATTAGTTTGGATTAGTTTGGATATTAGTACTAACTTGAAGGCGGCGCGGATTTCGCTAGAATAGCTAGTTGAACATAAAAATCTAATATTCTCTCTTACTACACTTAACGAGGCTAATACAGTAATAAATAAAATGCAACATACAAAAGAAATAAAGGTGTACATGTTATCCTGTAATCTACTTAGATCTCAGCAAAAAGCTAATAAATAATAATGATAATTTGACAAACAACCGCTCTTCCTCAGTGTTCGCACGGTCGCACCTGGTCAATGTAACTCAGTCCTAACGATGTGGGAGTACAGTTAGAAACAAAATGACGCTTCTTCTGTAGTTTAAATTTCGAATTTCGAATTTTAATTATAATATTTAAAATTTAGTTTAACTTTTTTATCAGCCATTATTTTATTAAGATAGAATTTTCTTGTAAGATTTTTTTTAATATAACCTCTTTGTCTTATTTTGCTAGCATCTCTAAAACAGCTTACCTATTTATAACGTTACAATTACTTAATCGTCGTCATCATCATCATCAAGGAAATAATGCTATGCAATCCAAGTTCTTATAACATTTTGTAGGCTTTTGAAAAACGAAATAAATGCTACATTTAAATTAATCTGGTATTGGGAAATTATTAACGGATTTGCCCTTTTAAAGAAAATTGTTTTATTACTCGTATATTAATAGAAGTATGAGCATACATCTTTACAAATCGATAAAAAATATTTATTAAAGGTTTTCAAAAAAAAAAAATTAACAAAGTGCACTTAATGCTATAGGCATTCTCTGCCAGTCGAATCTTTGAGAGATTTATATCAGTGACTGTACCCCATATATGATGTTATACCAGACACCAGGTGCCTGCAATAAGGATTTATTTTACGACCGCAACATTTTTACAATGGACCCGCTTTTATGAGGGGCTTGTCAATGCGGTACATCAAATTATTGTCTATGAATTTATGTATTGTGTGATACAGACCGTATAAATACTATACAGTATGTAAAAAAAAAATCATTAATTAAATATATTAGTTTTCAAGATAACTGTAAAAACATTAGACGTTAGTTACGAGAGAAAGTTGTTGAATAAATTAATCAATTTAAATTATATCAAAAAAGTGTGAGTAGCCATGCTTTGGATCTAATGGGCCAGTTCGACCGGATTGATACCACGGTCTCAACGGAAACCGGCGTGAAGCAACACTTACGTTTACGTGTTTCGCCGTGTGAGTGAGGTTATCGGAGGCCCAATTCTTGCCCTCTCCCTCCATCCTAATTCATCAAATTCCGTATTCTTAAATTTATAATAACCCACAAGAGGTAGGCAACGACCCATGACAAAAAGTTTTAATACAAAAAGTCAGTAATCATTCCAATGTTTTTTTTTTAAATAGTAGGGTGCCTCGTACCAGTTTGTACCCACCTAATGAAGGATATAAAGTAGTAGGATGTAAAGTACTTCAGAATATAAAGGTATTGCAATTATTGAAGTTGGTACCGATTTGCGTTTCTAATAAACCAGTACTTAGTTCTTAAGTTACAAGTACTGGATATTAATGCAATTTATTACTGTATTTTACGATACTTGGTAACAGTTAAATTATTGAACTGTATTTTCTAAGACTATTTAGATATAAATGACATGCGAACAACCTTACCTAATCTCTCCTGCGTGGGGAAGCAACAGGGTGAGTCAGGTTACAGTAGACCCACTCTTTCTCCCCCTTTTATCAATCCGCAAATCCCCTATCCTTAAATCCCTAATAAACTACAAGAGGCCAGCGAAGCACTCCTTTTGTATTACGAGTGTCTAACAGCGTCGCTGATTGCTTAACATCAGGTAATCCGTCAGCTTGTTTGCTGACATTTGTTATAAAAAAAAACCTAACCTATAAGCTCAGAATACAGAACAACCTATAAGTTGCCATGCGATCTGGAGATCTCATTTTAAACTGTGAACTTTTTGAACTAGTGGATTTGAAGGCGACAGAATTATTGTTTGTTTTTTTTTTGTCAGGAAATCTTCAAATGTCTTCTCCCGCCCGGGGTAAGGCGAGAGAGAGTGTCAGACTCTTACTGACTAAACCTCCCCCCCCGTTCCTTCTCCTGCTTTGGGCCGAGGCCGCGTTGACTCATTGCGCTTAACTCGCAACCCCGGCTGAATGTAAGAATATACATTTACAACTTTGTCTAGGTACATATGAATTAAACCATTATTGTTAATGACCATCAACAGAGATTTTCTTTGAAACAACTAATGGGCACCTACACTGAAACTGAAACACTATTGTTTCTTGACCTAATAATGTTGCTATACATCTGAAATTCTGAAGGCAAGCCAGGATCCAGTTTCAGTTACCAAAAGCACAATAGCTAAGAACCTTACAGTACCCAAAGTTAGGCCATCAATCATGATCAAGGACCTTAAAGTTGGGGCTATTGTGGCGCCCCCTAACGCCACGATTATCTCGTTTATTATTGTTGGGACTCTTTTGTTGGTGTGACCGCAGATTTCATTGTGACCTTCGTGTAAAGACGCGTCGTATTATTATAAAGAAGGTGATATTTTTATCAATATGTTTGTCATTGTGTTGAATGTTGATTCATCTTTATATTGAAAAGTTTGGGTCTTTTCATTGCAGAACTCAAGGTCAAAACTATCCCTTAGGGTGATCATTCAAGTGTTTGTTTAGTTGGTATTTTTTGGGCGTCCTATGCTTTTCTCCCGCCTCAAGAAAGGCGAGAGAGAGCGTCAGATTCTTACTGAATAAAAACCAAACCTTCCCTTATTCTGTTCCGGACCACAGCTGTGGTACATTAATTCGCTTGCACCCGCAACGTCCGGCTGGACATAGGCCCTAATGGCTACCCTTAATGGTGGCTTGTTTTGTCGAAAGAATAGAGAATAAATGCAAAATGCATTTTATTTTGTAACCATATTAAAATTGATCAGTACATTAAGTGATTTTTAAAATCTACCAACCATAATGTTTTTAAAATGGATATTCGAACTAATATACGACCGACCGTTCATAAAAATTGGAGTTGAATAATATTGAAATACGATTTCGGCCGAATGAGAAAAAAAACCGTTCGCTCTTCCCGTATTTGTTCAATTTTTAGAGCGTTCACTATTCAAATATTGACATTTTTGAAGTACTGAAAATTTATAACACCACTTCAGTTATTTTCCATAGCGATCTGTGGTTGCGTATTGCGTCATTTGAGGTATCGACGTGTCAAATGTCGTGGTGGCATACAGATTTAGGCGCTCACTTGTAATTTATGAGGATGTACCTAGTAACTTGGCAAGAACCAACTTTTTTCCTATGTGAGAAGATGCGAAACGAGCAGGCGTATTACCTGATGGAAAGCAATCAGCAACGCGCTTGGACAACAGATGAGCAACGAGTGCGTTGCCGAACTTTTGGGGATCAGGGATTTGGAGATTTAGGGATTGGTTAGGGATTGAGGAAGGAGGAGGATTAGACCTCCATTAACCTTACTCATGGCGAAATACAACGCTTTGGTTGTTTCACGACGGTTTTCTGTGAGGCCGGAGTAACTGTCCGGTCGAGCCGACCCGAATAGTTTTTCCTCACCAGTGACATCAATCTGACATATTCTTAGCTATTATGTAGTTTCTAGAATTTTTTAAACACCATTGGCATATGGTGAAGGTAGGAAAATCGAGAGGAAACCTTTTTTTGTTAAGAGAAAACCATCAAATGACATCTCTCGCCCAGGGTGAAGTGAGAGGTAGTCACAGACTCTCCCATCTGCGGTGTCTACTGGCTCTTTGAGGCAGGTTAAAAGGACTGATTATCAAATTCAGGAGGGTAATAAAATGTATAGAATAAAGGTTGTATTTTTAACGAGGGAATAATTCATCCACACTATATATTATAAATGCGAAGGTAGCCCTGTCTCTCTGTCTGTCTTTTCTTCACGCCTAAACTACTGAATCGATTTCTGTGAAGAAATACAGACATAGTTTGGAACTCGAGAAAGAGAATAGGATAGTTTTTACACCAAAAATCTGCAGGAAGTCACTATTCTACGCGAACGAAGTCACGGGCAAAAGTTAGAAAAGAAATAAAATAAATAAAATATAGCAAAAAGTTTAATTTTTTTTTATTGTTATACATTTACATACTAGTTACGAATATATAATATGTTTAGGATAAATAAGTATTATTTTTTAGTAACTAGTATATCTTCGTCGGCATCATTGATACCTTCCAAGACTTGCCTTCGCTCTTCACTTCCTTGAGAATTCGTCTGTGTGGGCATTGTAGACCGTCTCAACTGTGAGAAATAAAAAATGAAATTAAATACTTAGTAATCTATAAATAAAAATCTTTCAAAATAAGTATTAAATATAAATCCTCAATGGCTTATATGGTCTTTTGGGGCCTGAAACCCCTACCCCATCACCAATCCCAATCCCAACCCCTACTCAAAAATAACCCCCAACTCACCCACAACTGCAACCCCAACACCAATCCCCAAGCCCCAATCTCCTACAGCTAATCCTGATCTATATTTCCCGTTTACAATCTCCAATTCCCAAACCTCATTCTCAATCCACAGAACCATTTGCTGATCCCCAATACCCAATCTCCATTCCCAATCACTAATCCACCAATCTTTAACTGAATTATAATTGTCAATCCCTAACCAATCCCAATTTGAATCTTAAATCTCCAGTCCTATTCCCCAATTTCCAATCCCAAAATACAGGCCATCCCCAATTCCAATCGCCACTTGCTTAACATCTGGGCCTCGAGTCTGCTATTACAATAGTGTCAGAATAGTAGATCATTGGTTTCAAAATTGTTGATTTTGACTAGTTTGGTAATCTACTAACACGATAGCGTCATTATGACTTCCAATGATCAACCAATTGAAATAATTCTTTAGAACGGTATCCTGGAGCATTATGACAAATGAATATTTGACATAATGCGGTAAATTAATGAAGAAATGTCAGTTCCTATTAAATGATTTACGTTTAGAATTTTAATATGCAGTTATTGTTTATAATTCGTTACAAGACAACTCGTACTATACTTCTATTACGAAATCGCCGAACGCCAATGATCAGCCATTTTGAATTAACAGATTGCGAACTTTTAGCAAAATGACAATGAAATCGTGTAGGAATGACAACACTTTGAAAATAGTAGACTCGGGCCCCAGGTGGTCTGCCTGATTGTTTGACACCGCAGATAGGAATTTAAGAAATTAGAACAGTTTAATTAAACGTTATACTTCTTTATAAGCATTAAAAGTATGTTAATACAATTATAGAATACTTACAATAGTTTGCCGTTTGACACTTCTTCTTAAATTTTCTAATTCTTTTTTCTTCTTACGCTGCAAGAAACCAACCTGAAGAGCAAATGTTGAGCAATTAATAATCAAATTTTGGGCACACTTACAGCGATGAGTTCTTTCAATGATACTTATATTTTCGTTAAATAATATGAATTATCGATACTAATATTATAACATTTTAGAGTTTTGTTTGTTTGTTTGTTCTAACGCAGTAACCTCCAGAACTACTGTTCGAAACAGTGAACAATTTGTTTTTGTGTTCGGTAGTCTATTTATCCAGGAATGCTCTTGGCTACAAAATATCACGCTAGGACCGAGCCGAGCAACGAAGTGATACCGCGCCATACGAGCTAGTTCTTATTATTTTTGATGTACCGTTGCACATTAATATATTTTGAAATAATTATTAAATATAATCAATAAATAATATGAGCAAATTTCAAAAAAGGTTCTAAAATAAATTTAGTAGCTTTTGGGGAGTTATATATATATACAACTTGTCTTGAGATATACTATTATATTGTTTATGTTTAATGGCTAACTATCTATAGTTACTCGTCAAATATTTATAATTATTAATTTATATTATATCTAACAAATGATTGCCATGGGTTTGAGTGTATACATAACTTTAAAACATCATGTTTGACATCAACATACAAAGCATATGTGTACGTACCCTGTATAGGATGATAGCGATGATAAGAACGATGAGAAGACCCACCAACAGTGCTATAATGATGATCATCAGAGGTACTTTCGCTTCCTGGAGCGTTACCAATGTAGAAATACTGAAAGTGAGAAGGAATGTTTTTTTCATAAATGTTATAAGATATACTTTTTCTTGTAGTTGGTGTAAGTGATAAGAAAAAATTTGAAATTCGAATTTAGAATTCGTTCCCTGTCCAATGTTCAAGCTCCTAATTGTCACTATGGCAACAATATAAAAATTTGAATTATTCTAACTATAAATCATTTTGTCTTTCTCGGGCATCGATCACTAATAAGTTCTTTATTACTGATCGATGTTCTCGGGTAATAATAACTGAAAATCCTTACTTAATATTCTTACTATTACCCACTCAACTAAAGAAATAGTCATTACAACATAAGGTAGGTAGCTATAAAAAATACGTAAGTTGTTATTGTAATTACCTTGTCTTTTTTAAGTGGCCTGGAACTGGTTCATATGATATCGAAGACGAAATAGTCACATTCTTTTCTTCAAGGATTGCCTCTGAAAATATGAGCTACATTAAGAATAAACGAAATATTGTGTATCAAAGTTTCTTTGGTGAATGTGGGGTCTGGATAGTAGAACTACTTCTTGATACGTCTGGTATTGAAAGTATATTTAAGGAAATGTCTGCTTACCATCAAACAAGTTTGTTGCTAACAATCTACAATCTAAGTGTGGGAGAGCCATGCTTCAGCACGAATGGGTCGGCTCGACAGGAGTGACACCACGGCCTCAAAGAAATCCAGCGTGAAACAACCACAGCGTTGTGTTTCGCCGTGTGAGTGAGGTTACCGGAGGCCCAATCTTTCCCCTCTTCTAATCCCTCCCAATTCTCAAAATCTCCAAATCCCTAATCCCCAAAAGGTCAGCAACGCACTCGTTACTCCTCCGTAGTTGAGTGTCCATGGGCGGCGCTGTGTGCTTACCATCAGGTAATCTTTAATCTGTTTGTTCGTTTGCCGACCTATTACATAAAAAAAAACTTATTTCTAAAGAAGGGTTTGATTGTTTGTGCGCGCTAACCTCCGGAACTACTGGTTCGAAGTGGTTCATTAATGTATCGGATAGATCAAAAATCGGTCGCCGTAACCGAAAACGGATAGGAAAGATATATTTGAAACCCCATCCATTTTGACAAACTTTGGCTATTGGAAGCTAGTTAATAAAAATTATGTTATCAATACAGTATAATGAAAAAGTTGCTTACCAAGTTCAGTACTAGGTTTTATAAACATGGGGATTAAAATTTTGGCCTCGTCCTTTTGAACTTTCAAACTTTCAACGACACAGATATATACCATTTTATCATTTGGATCATTTTCACAGTTCATAGTGTTGTAGGATTCTGATATATGTACCTAAAAGTAAAATTATAATCATAAAAATACAAAAAATACGTTCTCTTTGTATTCAAAATGAAATTCTTATTGTAGTGATGTTAATGGATTACATTATTTTTCTATTAAGAATTTTATTTTTTTTATTTTTTTATTTCGTCTTAAAAAAACGTTGCCCTACATTAGGATTTTCTCCTGTGTCGTGGGTGCTGTGACAAACATACAATTCCACATACCCAAGACACCCAGACCCAGAACAACAATTTGTGGATCACACAAAGAGTTGTTCCGTGCGGGAATCGAACCCGCGACACGTTGCACGGCAGCCAGTTGCCCAGCCACCGCACCAACCGTGCAGTCAAATAATAAATTAATTACTAAATTAAGCTTTGATAGCGTGAAACCTTAAATATAGCGTGGGGTACCGTTTTAAAAAACAATAATAAATCAATGAAATGTATGATCGGAAAATCCAGTATTAAAACAAGCAACATAATGTTTTGAAAAAAGAAAAAAGAACTCACTGAAACATCCTCTAGGTAATCCTGTTTCTCTAATTTTACTTTAACTTCAAGTTTCACCCAGTGTGTTGGTCCAGAGTTCGTTAACTGTAAAAAAGGTTTGAAAGGTATTTTTACCTAAGAACATTACGACTCTTATTTGAGGAAGAGAGACACAGTTACACATCTTTACTAATATTATAAAGAGGTTAAATTTGTAAGTTTGTATGTAGGGGGTAATCTTTGGAACCGCTGGTCGGATTTCCAAAATTCTTTCACTGACAGATAGCTATAATATTTCTGAGTGCTATATACATATATGGGCTATAAAACATCATGCTACGATTAAATGGAGCTGGGCAGCGGGTGAAACCGCGCGAGAGGACTTTTTACTACAGAATGATCTGAACGATTCTCACACTTTTTTTTTAACTCTCTGGACTTTAAGAGGACACCTAACTCTCAGCTTGTTACGGCATTTCTTCTCAGAGTAGTCAGATAAGACATGCCAACTTTATCTAAGGTAAGAAACGCGTTATATTGCTAAACAAAGGCCTCGTCTTACACGGAGAAAGTTTAAGCATTAAACTCCATGCTAGCTCAAGGTAGATTGGCAACTTCAATCTTATAGTTAGTAAGTTTCAGTCCAGTTTTCATTATCATATCATGATATTATATCAAATATATGAAAGGACTCACCGTATATACATGAGTTATCTTTTTTCCTTTTTTTGTAATATCTTCTCTTGTCATATCAACAATAGCGCCAATGTCATTTTCTCTGTAAAATAAATCCACATTATTTACATCATCAGCATATAAGTGCAAACTGCTGAGCAAAGGCTTCGTCTCACATTCAGACTTCGAGCATTAATCACCACGCTTACTCAAAGCGGATTGGTAATTTCAAACTTATTATTAGAAAATAATATTCCTCGCAACCTAACGGTGTTTTCTTTTACCGTAGGTCTCTGGTGTGTTAGCAGTGCTTGCCAGGTTTCGATGCAAGAGAAGAGGGCGCCTTAATCTTTTGGTCACCACGTATTTATTGCTTAAATCCACATTATTGCTTGATCAAAATGAAGTAGTGTATCGCGGCATTCCAACGTTTTGTATCTGATCCATGCGCGTTATAGACAACGCTTTTCGCTTCGTATCAATATCAATAACCGCTCAAAGATTGCGCAGGAGCGAAACGCGAGATCGAACCCCGCGCCGATGACCTTTACGCACGCACCCTGTATTTACACCGCGAGTTCGAATCATTGTTGTTTTTGGTATAAGTTAACAATATATAATATTAGTATTTAACCATCAAACGTGTGTCGGACATTATTTCACGCCCCGGAGAACCTGATCGCTTCCCTAAGGACACAGCGGTGCTCAGCCCACACAGGTCACAACACCTCCGTACACTGCACCCAGTTCTACGGGTGGCCCTCACTCTCGTTGTTGCTATACTTAATATTGGATAATACAAACCCTTTAGCGACAATTCCAGTAGGATCTGGCTGCATATTAATAGTGTATTTGCGATTTTCAGTAGCAACCGTATCTTTGCAGTAATTGTAGCGTTGCACGTTCACAGTCACTTTTTCATCCAAGTTATTAAGTTGTTGCATATCTAGGTCAATTGAACCAGTGTCCTGAAAAAAGATAAGGCTAGGTATTGAGTAACCATATAAATATTTTCACTGTGTTTTTTTCAAAGTCAAAGTCAACATCATTTATTTCAATTAGACCCATATAGGCACTTATAAACGTCAAACAAAATTTTAAAGATATAAAGTATCAGTCTGTCCGCCAGTTGAGTTCTCTAAGGTCATAGCTGGTAAAATACGGGTTATTAACGATTGTGATAATACAATACATACCCATTTCCCGCCATTTCTGATTGGGGTCGAAGGCATACAGAGTAGGCTGGTCCCGTTACCTTGACAGGTAGGTGGGTACTTCAACACCCGAGTTCCAACAATTTCGACACGTAAACAAGGATCGTATGCAACTTCTCCGTTATTAACCATTGATATAGATACACTTTCGGTTTTTTTCGAACCGATAATGTACTTTTTGTTACTGAAAATGTTAAATATAAAGTCATGATTATGTTCTATTGAATTTGGCAAGTCTTCTCTTATAAGGTTTCATAATATTATAATAATGGAGAATTTTTTGTTTTGATGATACAGAATATCCTGCCTATAATATATCGATTATTTCATGTACCTATTATCTTCTCCCATCCACCACCTATGGACTAAAAACCCCTCTTTTGTTTCTCCTGCTCCAAGCTGGGCCGAGGTTCATCATTAACATCATCATTCAAATGTTTCAAAAAACAAGGTTAAGAGTTTATGAGGAACTAAATTTAACAGTTTATTCAGCTATTGGTGAAAACCAATCAAGCAACCAAAATAAGGTGTTATTTCCATACGAGTCAAAGACTTAATAATCACTCAAACTGTTCTTAACGAAAAAAGAGACGATAGATGAGAAGACGATAAATGAGTGTTACAAATTACTTACTCAAAACTTATAGAAGGTGTCATACTAAAATTGGGCACACAAATTTTGCCTGCGCACTCGGCTGCCCAAGCAGTCTGGACAACTTGTAAGACGCTACGGTCACTGAGAATCACACGAGAGCTATCAAATTTCTTCAGTTCCATGGGATCTTCCAATAATTTAGTTGTAACAACGTAGTTTATCTCCGTATCATATTTGCCGTCCTACAAAATTTAAATACTATGTTACACGGTACAAAAGTAACGTGGCATATAATCGTACAAAAATAATAAAAAATATTAAGTCTGGATAAATGGACGGAGGATATTCGTTGCTTTTCGTGTACAAACTACTGCAAAAAATAAGAATGAAAATTGGCAAGAAGATAAATTATAAATTGATATAACACATAGGCTATTAGCTATTTGCTGTGTTCTTGCAGGCGAAACCGCTCATAGAAGCTTTTATGTCTATAGTAATATTACAAAGAGGTAAAATTTGTAAGTTTTGATGTAGGGCGTAAACTTTAAACGGTTGGTCGGATTGCCAAAATTCTTTCACTGATAGATAGCTACAATATTCCTGAGTGCTATAGGCTATAAAACATCATGCTACGATCAAATGGAGCCGAGCAGCGAGTGAAACCGCGCGAGAGTAGTGAGTAACGTATAAAATTATCGTAATACATTGTACCTATCTAATTGATATCATAACATCTTATTTCTCGAAACGTTAAGGATGCGTTTTAAATGCATAATTTAAAATCCCCATTACAAGGTTTAAAATAAGGTTGAAGGGGTAAAAATTTTTGATCAAGAGGTCCAGCCCTAACGCGTAAGGTTCGTTAATCCAAAAGAGGATTAGTATCAAACCTTTTAACAGGTCATTTTGGCAGCTATTGGCATTGGGCGTATTATTGCAAATTGAAAAATTCGAATGGCCATGGACACTCGTTATAACAGAAAAGTTGAGTGCATTGCTGACCTTTCGGTGATTAGAGTTTTGGAGATTTAGGAACTAGGAGATGGGATGGGTTAGGCATCTCGTGAACCGGTGTTCAATAACTAACTCTATAAGTGTCTAAGTACGATTTTTAAAATCGTCAATATTTTGAGATACTTACCCTTAAAGAGAGAGATATATTTATTTCAGGAAATATATTATTTATTTGTTTCCAATTAGTTACTTACAGTAAAAATATAATGATACTTACAAGAGGAAGAATGAAGGGAATATTTTCACAATTTTCTCTTTGTCTGTCGTTCAGGGATTTTTCGAACGTATAACCGCCGGCGTCCATTTTGGCTAATTTAGCAGAGGAGTGGGTCATAGTGACCGTGGTTGACAAACCTGTTAGAAACATTTTTTTGAGAATTATTAGTTAAATAAGACCTATGGTAGCTCACCGCCTGTCCAGAAGCAGACCTAACAGTGCCAGACCCAGAACGTTGTGCACCACTATGAGCCATTAGAACACTACAGATTAGGCCCAATTGGGCCGATATTCAGACGGGGATGCGGTTGTAAGTGCAACAATATACCCAAGACTGGAACACGAGATGGAACGGGGTTGTTCTATCCAGGACGGGAGAAGTATTTGATGATATTTATACCCCAAAAATCCTTTAAAATTACAGACTGATTGAGTTATGAGTGAGTGCTGAGTGCTTATTTATGAAATAAGAATGAGAAAAAAAAGTTTGCTAGACCTTGTTATCGAATCTGAGACCTATTTGGCTGACAGTGACGACATACCTATATAAGATTGTAAACGATTTGGAAAAAAATAAAAAATATATAAATAATTAAATTCATTATGAATGTATATTATGAATATATGTACTTACGGGCTATAATTTTTTCCGGTAAAGTTGGATACGTTACTGTCAAACAAACTCGAAGATTGTAGTTGACTTCACGAGAGGCACCGCGGCCCTAGACAATAAAATTCAAATTTGACAAGAAGCTTAGAATAAAAAATAGTTTTTAGTGGTATATTATCAAGCCTTATAGCTCGATGCGTATCATAATTTCCATTATTGTTATAATTATCACCATCATTACCATCGGCATAATCGCTACCATCTCTATCGTCATCTTCACCGTCATCATCAGCGTCATTATCACCGGTATAGCCGTGATCATCATAATCGTCTAACGTATTTAAATTATCGTAATCCTCATAATCGTCAAAAGACCATGTCTGACCACTGCTAGACTTTGATTGGTGGATTTTATATAGAGTTTATACACATAATAAGGTTCCGGTTTCCACAACCAGAGAACACTGGTCCTTAATCTCATCTAAGTAGTCCCTTATGAGGTTTTGGGTACTTTATCTAGTGTATCTCCTACAGTAGATCGAGTCAGTATTTCGTTCTGGGACATCGCATGCTACTTTATAAGGCGCAGGTTCGGACCCATAAGGTACACTGTGCTCATCTCTGGGCCGGGGCGCTACAATACCCATTCGGCTCTTAAGAGACCCGTGGATTAAGTGTATTATGTGTTCAAATATAATATATAAGTATATATTTTTAATTACCTGTACATTGGGGAATATGGCTGATGTCTCTACAGTTATAGCAGCCATACATCTCAGGAGAACCACTTTATCTTCGTAGGGCGAACCGATGGCCAATTCTAATGGAGAAGAATAATATCAACAACAATCTATTTACCATTTACTTTAGAAGTCTCGTGTTAAAAAAAGGAGAAGGTATTATTGCTACTATCATCCTTATTATTATCATCATCATCATTACTATTATCATCATCACCATCATCATCAACATCAACAGCCTGTAACTGTCCCACTGTTAAGCAAAATGATCATCTCATACGAAAAAGGAATGACCATTGTCAATGTTTTTCTCCATTGTACATCAGAAAGAAAGAACAACCATTTTCTTGCACCATCAATTGTAGATCAAAAGATAGAATATAATTCATCAGTGATGTCCAAATAAACTTAGAAAGCACATTATATTTTTGGAAAACGGTTTTTAAAACGTGCCACTAGAGAAGTGGGTATCTCAACTTCAAAACTACTTCAGCTATTTTAACATTTACTAGAATTTAGTTATTACCATTGCATCCATTTTTGTCGTAATCCAGTAATGGTGTGAGACTCATTCCGAACGATTTTGCGTAATCCGCTTCAGGTTCAATCTTTTGCATCCAATTAAGAGTCATCTCTGTTTTGTCACTAACTAGATCATGTCCACTATAGAGGTAGACAACACCTCTACCATCGTTTTCAAATGGTGCACTGATGGCTATTTCTGCAAAACAATATACTAGTTATAAGTATTTCTCTATATGTATATATAAGAATAACATCAAAGGGTCTAAACAAACTAATATCACCACCAAGATACAGACCAAGAATAATCGATACTACTTATATGTACTTGTATGTATACGGAGATATTTTAAGACTGTTCTTAGATCTTATTTTTTTTTCAATTTCAGAAAAGGCATAGGTACGCATGGTCCTCGAATTTTCAATTGTTCTCATACATATCTATTATTACCTTCTGAGATAAAAAATAAATTGAAATCTATAAGGAATACAAACCATCTTTTCGGTCACCATTCAGGTCTCCCACGTTTACAATAGCACTCCCAAACTGTCCTCCAGCAGACGACCCGACAATCCTTCTTTTAAATGTTGGTGATTTCTATAAAATAAAAACATTAAGCGTTGCCATTTGAAATACGAGTGTATGAGTGTACTATACTCTGTTAGAAGTACTGCTAAGAACCAAGTGAACTTCACGAATGGGTCGGCTCAAGTTAGCATTGTAGTTTTTGAAAAATTAAATAAAAAGCTCCGCATTTTATCAATGTCTATATGACCTAAGAAGGTATTTGTAACTCGAAAATAGCCACGAACCAGGCGAAAAGCCAATTAGTGTCTCTAAATAATAAATGTCTATAAAAATAAGTGAAACAATTACTTGCCTTATTCTTGGGGTAAAGATAAAGATAGACTGCTCCAAGGTTGTACGTGTCGAATGTGGCGTAAGTAGGAGCACCCACAAGCAAGTCAGTCTGATTACCAGAAATTTTGGCAGCGCACAACACAGCACCGAACATTGACCCAATCACATCTGTGTCCACTACTTTCACCAGGTTTCGTGTAAATTTTAGATTTTGGAAAAACAAAACCTGTAACGAGAATAACGTGACTGTTACTGGGAATTTGTTGAAGTGGGAGAAGGTCTTTATATTCATTTTATTATACTTATAATGTTTTTATAATGGCATTATCATCAGCCTATAAGTGGCCACTGTTCGACAAATACCTTTTTTCACACGACGAAGGTTAGAACATTAGTGACCACGCTTGCTCAAGGCGGATTGGCGATTTCAAAGTTATGATTACCAATTATAAGTCAAGTAAGCTTTCACGATATTTTCAAAAAATGTACGTTTTTATTTTTTATTTTAACTTTTTCTTCCTTCTCAATTGGAACTATAAAGATCTAAACTTTTATAAGAAATTAATAAATAAACTATTGTAGTTTTTACGAAGTGGGTATATTTAATACATTATGTTAATTTACCTCGCCGAATCCACTAGTTCCGTACGGCGAACCAATGGCGTACGTCAATTTCGTACTTAAGAACATTCCGGAGGCGACACTGTAACCTACAATGAACACATTCATTAAAGGTTATTGAATAACATATTTTACTATTTAATAAGGGTGGGTTAATAATAAATAAAATTACTATCTTGATACAAGACAGGCTCGTATCGTTTTCAAGTAGATCCCAGATTATATGCGATTATTAATTTGAATATTATGATAAAGCATAAAATCACTCTGTTCACTTATTGATGTTGGAGGAGGATTGGAGTATCATTCGGTTAGTAAGAAAGAAAGAAAAGAAAGAAAGGGAAAAACATTTTATTGGTAGGAGTAATTATTATTGAAAGATTGATTAAAATTGCTTGTGATTAGTCTTCACCGACTGCTATCTGTTTATAAAGCAGGACGTTTAATTATTCCAAAAAGTTTTTAAAATAATATATAATTAAATAATTGAAAATTTGTCTGTAATTGTTATATAATAACAGAATAAATAAATGAATAAGTATGATTAAAAAAATAGTTTACCAAAGTCGAATTCGGGCATATTCATTTTGTTGTATTTTATAAATGTCGGTAGCGATCTTGGAGTGTAGACCATGACACGACCTAAAAATAAGAATATATTATAAAACGTAATGCTAGTTTTTATAAACATTATAATAGTAACTATTTGGACATGACGTACATTGAGATGCGGCTATTAATAAATAAAGTGTAATAAATAAACCACATATAAAACGTCATAATTCAAGTGTCCACCATTCTCCAGTGAAGCTAGCTAGCTAGAGGTTTGTAGATTTTTAGGGAGAGTTACGAGAAAGAAAAAGTGTGGAAGAGCCATGCTTCTGCACGAATTGGTCGGCTCGACCGGAGTGATAGCACGGCCTCACAGAAAACCGGGGGGAAACAACGTTAACGTTGTGTTCCGGCGTATGATTGAGGATTCAGGAGGCCCAATCCTTTCTTACCCATCCTCAATCCTCAAATCGGCTATCATTAAATCCCTAATAACCCACAAGAGGTCGGCAACGCACTGCTTTGTTATTGCGAGTGTCCATGGGTGGCGCTGATTGCTTACCACCAGGTAATCCGTCTGCTCGTTTGTCGACCTTTGGCATAAAAAAGAAACTCAATCGTATACGCTTTAATATAGGCTTTATAAGATCACTTACCGTGAAACATGCCCGGGCCTCCAACTAGTACACTATCATCGCTAGCTACGTCGATGCTCCATCCGAAGGAGTCCATACGAGTCTCTGAAATATAGGTTTTGGCTAGAAATGTACATAAAATAAGAAAGGAATTTGCACTTATAAATACAAAGCTAAATCCATTTTTCATAGGTTACTAAAAACAACCTAACTCCTATAAGACCTACTTCTTTCTCTACTTAACGCAATCAGCTCTGCACTGTACCGTGTCCCACCACGCTCCCGCGCAGTTTGCCAAAATCTGCACGCGGTACGCCTTCAAGGGCTTCGATGCGCCATTAGTGTGTTTTGTTCATAAATAATATTTAAATTAATTGTTAAAACCTTTGTGCAGTGTGAGATGCGTCCTAGGTCCTTAATGATATTTACATCAAAATGCTAACCTAAGGCAGTGATGCTTTAAAAGATGTCTTATGTTATATTTGCTTCAGACTAAGACAAAAATAATAAACCTCACAAATTTTGCCAACTTGAGAATTGTCCATTTAATGTGGTCAGCGACAGACCAATAAAAAGTCAACGTCAAAATCGTTTATTTTTTGTACGTCAAACAAAGCTTAAAGATAAAAATTGACAGTCTGTCGGTCAGTTTTCTCAGTAAAGCTATTAGCTCGTTCCAAAGTGTAGATTCCGATGGAGAAGAACGGGCAAGAAACTCCATGGTTACGATTTTTCAATTATTTTCAAATACATGTTCGTTGTTGGTTCCATTAAGGGAGAAAAGAGTTCAAATAATGATCAAAACTTCGGACTGGGAGATTCTTCTGCATTTTGTCAGTTTGTCTTTAATTTCTTCTCTTAGTAATTTATTCAAATATTTTTATATTAAACCTTGTTTTCTCTATCGCATATATCACGGGGCGTGTTTTGAGCAACTGTTCAGTTTGATCCCGCCGCATCTTTTCGCCATTGTTCGAAAGCTTATTATTTCTCAATCAAATATTTAGTTGGCAGTCAAGAACTGTGCGATTTACTAGAAACTTTCTGCCCACACAGCAAAACTTCCGATCTTTAAACCTTCAAGAAACGACTGTACTCCTTCTTAAAAGGCCGGCAACGCACCTGTGACTCCTCTGATGTTGCTGGTGTCCATGGGCGGCGCTGATCGCTTACCATCAGGCGATCCGTCTGCTCGTTTACCTCCTATTACATAAAAAATATGATTGTTTTAGTTACCCATTAGAGACTCGGAATCTTTGTTTCTCTCAGCTTCATTTATAATTTTTTTTTCAATTATTGCCCCGTCCTGATGCGAAAAGCATCTTCCGAAGGTCACGTGCATGTTAAATCCTATAAAATAAAACATGGTTAGTGAAAGCCAAAAATGGACCTTTTTACGAAGTGGTATGGTTTTTTTTTGTGACGAGTTTAACTTGTACCCGTGATATTGTAGATAATCATTGAAAAAGTATTGGATTATGTTTTGAAGTAAATTAAAACAAAGTCAAATAATGGTCAAGAAAGTGACCCTAGTGATATTAGGGTCATGGGGTATTCGATTCTTGACCCTAATTACATAAAATCTTATTAGGGCTTTTAGTAGTTCATCTTTTTTTATTATTCAAAAATGTACTTTAATCAGCATAATTAATGATTCGGAAAAAGTGAATTAAAAACTTAGTAAACTAAAGAAATACATTAAATAAAAATCGCGGGTTACTCACGTTTATAATATTGAGAAAAGCTCTACTAGTTTCGAACCACAGAGGAGTTCTTCCTCAAGAGCAACGTGCGTGCATGAGGAAGAACTTAATTTAGTGTGTCTCACGATAGTTATTATAAAAACATAAATAAGAACAAAAAATATTGTAAATTTATTAAAAATAAAATATGTAACTCTACTTATCATGGATAAAATAAAGAAAGTAATTTCCAAATTCCTTTGGTGTTGCAAATGTTTAAAGCTGGCACCGATTGCTTACTTGAGGACTGAGTGCGGCCAAAATGGCTGACCCATACATACACAGACATAGTTAGCAAAAAACATAAAAATATATCGTCATAACACATATTTAATAAAACAAGTAAAGATGTAACCAACAATTTCTTAAAATACCGGTGTTGATAAAGAAAATAATAATAAAAAAAAATGCATGGTAGGCGCAGTGTTTGGGCAACAGTAACTGGCTACTGCGCAACCTGTCGCGGGTTAGATTTCCACACGGAACAACTCTTTGTGTGATTGATAAATTGTTGTTTGGGGTATGGGTTTGATGCGTTTGTGAAATCGTATCTTTGTAAACGCACCTCCGACACGATAGAAATTACCAGTGTTGGACGTTATAAAAATATTTCAAAACGTATATTATTAAATTAATATACGTTAGTTTTGACCTCGCTTTTTATTATCTATCACTCCATACAAACTTATTAAGAGGTCACATAACAACGACATTCGAGTTTATTATGATGTTCCAAATTTGAATTTATACTAATGGCCATAAATAACTTTCCAGAGGAAAAAATTACATGTCTTGTGTAGAGATTATTTTCAATAATAAATAGCTTTAATACATCTTTACTTTAGGTGAATGGAGCATACTTACACGGCGTTTAGACAAATGCCCATCGTTTAAACCAATTAACTAAAAACTATAAATTTTTGTGTAAAACTAGCAAAACTTAATATAGACTAAGAAAAATTCACATTTATTGACGGGCATTTATCTTAATCGCAGACTTAATGTGATTCCAAGTATAATGGATTTGTGTAAGCTGGAGGATCCAGTAGGTGGTGATACATCCTCGGTTGAGTAGAAGCAATTCAATTATTTGGAATAATTGAACTTACCCTTCTCATCTGACTTACTAGCATAAATTTCAGTGAAACGTGGCGCACACATCTGAAACAAATGCGCGAGTTTAGATAGTTGTCATAAATATGATTGCTTTTTTTGTCAGAGGTAAATCGTCAAATTACTTCTCCCGCTCAGAGTAAGGCGAGAGAGAGTGTCAGACTCTTACTGACTAAAACCCACCCCCGGCTCCTTCTCCGGAATTAGGTCGAGGCCGCGGTGACTCATTGCGCTTACCCCGCAACCCCGGTTGAACATCAGCTCTGTAGGGCCTATGGCTATGAAGCGAAAGATGTAACGAAACAAACTTACGATCACGAAGTCTGGTCCCGATTTTACGGTGGCTCCCAACCAAAAGTCATGAGAGTAGGCTGGATTAACTGAAATAAAAAAAACGCTGCGTTAGGCATTCTGTCTCTGTCCCTGTCACATGTCACAATACACAGAAAAACAAGCGGAAAATTGTGCATGTACATGTCAATAATTGTACATGATACATGACAATAATTTAAATCATATATTTAATATTCGAGATTAGTTACTATTCCCCCCCTAACTCATCCTTATAGATTCTCAAAATCTTCTGATATAAAGAGAGGGATAGCCATACTTTGGCACGAATGAGTCGGCTCAACTGGAGAGATTTCACGGCCTCACAGAAAAGTAGTGTGAGACAACCACATGGTTCTGTTTCGCCGTGTGAGTCAGGTTACCTGAGGCCCAATGTTTACCCGCCCTTCTTTCCACACCAATCCTTGAATTCCCAAAATCCTTTATTCTCATAATGCTGTCAACGTAATCGCGGTATATTGGGTGGTGTCCAGGGGCGGAGCTGTTTGGTAACCATCAAATATATAAAAAATGTCGTCGTGGCCCGGTTAAGGAGCCCGCTTCTCATGCATGTGTCACCAATGTGCCTTTTTCCGAGTTACATGTACTTTCTATGATTATTTAGACACCAGTGACATACGGTGAAGGTAAACATCGTGAGGAAACCTGGACTTATAATTTCTAATTATGTATAAGTTTGAAATCGCCAACCCGCATTGAGCAAGCGTGGTGATTAATGGTCTAACCTTCTCCGTATGAGAAGAGGCCTTTGCTCAGTAGTGAGCACTTATAGGCTGATGATGATGATAATATCAAAAATAATAAAATATATAGAAAAATTATAGCTCAGCATTGTTCTTTCACAAGGTATTGACTTTTATTTGTATTGTGAATAAGGTTCTTTTTCTCTATTAAAATATTGAACTTACGAGATATTCTATCAATTTTCACAGGAAGACCAGCGCAGGTTCGAGATGGTATGTCACAATCGTATACTACACCAATATTATTTTCCCTGGGCGCACTTATTACTAATCTGCAAAATAACAAATTTAAGTTATCAACACTTAAAATTTATACTTTCAACATTTCATATTTTATTTTCGGCACTTTTGCCTCTATATGTTCGGTGCGGCACAGAATAAGTCCGTGATCCACAAATTGTAGTTCCAGGTCTGGGTTTGATGTTTATTTGAAATTTTATTTTTGTAATCGCTCTCAAGACGCAGGACCAAATCCTAGTGTTCGAACAATACTTATTCAATAATTAAAAAAATAATTGACAAACATTATTGTAAAATTAAATTTATTTTTGAATTCTGATTTGTAAAAAAAATTTTGCCTACCTGCGCCACGTATGGCTCGAATGGAGTGATACCACGGCCTCACAGAAAACCGGCGTACAACAACCAGCGTTGTGTTTCGCCGTGTGAGGGAGCTTACCGGAGGCTTAATCCTTCTCCTCCCCAAATGCCTCCCCAATCCCTAAATCTCCCAAATCCCTAATCCCTAAAAGGTCGGCAACGCACTCGTAACTCCTCACATTATTTAATAGATTTAAATTCCACCAGAACAAAATAAATATTCAAAGATTTTGGTTTCATATTGTTTAATCGTTTCAACTGTAATTATTCGCGTGATTGAGCTGTGTACAGGCCACAGCTAGTTTTCAATAAAATCATATTTTGACTAGAAATAAATTTTCCTCGAATGTAATAATTAAGTACGTATAAATTGTTAATCGCCTCGTGTATGAAATAAACAAGATTATTGTTATCAAACTTGGTGAATACATTATTAAAATATGCTTCAGTGAATTAGGTTGGCGAGTTACGTCGATTATCGTAATTTACGAATTTGAAAAGAAGAGTTTACATAAGTACTAAGATTAATTATTATGTTTTCGGCTTACCCGCATAATAATTTGACGAGATACTCGACTAGTTTCAAGCCATGCTAGAGGCCCATATTCATGAGCAGCATTCCGCGAGTATCTCGTCAAATTATAACGTAAGTAAGCCGAAAACATAATAATTAATTTCGAATGTCTCACGAAAGTTATAATAAAAGTACTGAAATTCTCATTATTTATAGATGATATAACATTATAGAATGATAAAATGTAACATGGTTAAAACTCCGAAACTTTTTGCCCAAAAAACTGGCAACGAACTTGTAGTTTTTCAGTGTGTAGGTTTTCAGTTATATATCCATAACATCCCTGGTCTGAATAAATAAAATAACAGACATTGATTCAACAAATTGTATAATACAGGTAACCTATTATTACGACAAAATACATTACCTAAAAACAGTTCAGCGGTTTAAGAGCCAGAAGAAACTCATATTAATACAATTTGAAATGAATTCATACACTTACTTTCCATGTTTTTGGTCATAAGTTATACTATATCCAAAATATGAGTCATTGCGGAGGGGCCTTGGTGGCCTGAAGATTTCTTTGTCGCCCGTGAAGTATTTTGCTAATGCGCTTGGCCATGCCACCAGGCACAAGCAAATAATATCTAGAAAGAAAACAAAAGTCTATTTGTACATAATTCATATCACACAAAGTCACGGTTTTCATCCCTCCACAATCCCTAAATATAGTGTGGGAGAGCCTGGCTTTGGCACGCATCGGCCGCCTCGACCGGATTGATGCCACAGGCTCACAGAAGACCTGCGTGAACAACCACTGCGTTGTGCTTCGCCATGTGAGTGAGGTTACCGGAGGTCCCATTCTTCACCTTCCCCAGTCCCTTCCCAAACCCTAAATCCCCAAAACCCTTATCCCAAAAGCTGGGCAACGCACTCGTAACTCTGCCGTTGGTGTACAAGGGCGGCGCTGATTGCTTGCCATCAGGTAATCCGTACGCTCGTTTGTCGTCCTAACACGTAAAAAAACTCGCCGAAGAAATTTTTCAAACGTGGAAGACCTGTGTCTCGATACCAGTGGGCCAACTTGACCGGATTGATACCACAATCCTCACAGACACACAAAGTAACGGCGTTTTAGTCAGCGAACGGTTTTTTCAAACTCGAAAGAGCCGTGGTACAAACCGACGTGAAACAACGCCTAAGTCGTATTTTGCCATGTCAATGCCATACTTTATCTAATTAATTATACAATATATGTGAGATTTGTAGTTTTTAGCTAGTTTTCAAAGTTTAAGTAAGCTATTTGACGTTTGAAAATATGACATCATTATATTTTGTGTCAAACAGCTTACTTCCTATACCCACATAGCGGTAAAATTCTTTTGAATTGTAGATATTGTATCTTATATGAAAAACTTAGTATTGAATTTGACTAATTGATTTTAATTTACGTCACGAGAACCCTTTTTTTGAGTGGGGAAAATCATCAAATATCTCCTCTCGCCCTAGGTGCGCCGAGAGAGAGTGACAGACTTTTACTGACTAAATACTACCTCAATCCTTATCCTGCTCCAACCCGCGGTACACAATAACACCCCATGACCAGTATTCAGTATAAAGAATAAGTTGCGCAAGCGCATATTTAATTATTATATTCGAACTTAATAATAATCGTTAGTGGAATAATCCGTAAGACCTCTTTAATGAATCGAAAAACATGTATAAAATCTTTAATTGAAAAAAAAAAATTATTGATATTTTTTTGCCATCAAATTGTCCAAAATATTAATAAAAATATGAATAAATTATACTTACATTTCATGATTTCTCCCGTCAAACACAACTCCACATATTCACAACACACAACACTAATAGATTTGGTCGGATTCCCTTCGATTGTATTCGTTTTTCCTTGTGTCAATATGAGGTCATTTCATCATTATATTTATAAACTGGGCGGTGCATTTATTTATTAGCCATATAGAGGTTGTAGGGAATATATTTTGCCATCCCAGCTTTTGTGTGTGTTAGAGAGCCCAATAAGAGGTTTTTTTTTTATGTGGTTGGTGGGCAGAAGACGGATTTTCTGACGGTAAGCATTTAACGCCACCCATGGACACGATTGTACCACGCCGATTAGGGAGGGATTGGCAGAGGTAAAGAATTTCGTCACTCCGAGAACTCTAAATGTTGTGAAGAAGCTGATAGCAGCGCTCTTTGGTAATCCTGAACCATTTAGCACAATTCAAACCGCGTATGTAAATAGGTATAATAAATCTGAATTCCTTATTCGATTTATGGAATTCCAAAATAGGTTTTAATACGAAGGTTTAATTAAGATACAGTACATGACATTCTATGGTATTTTGAGAACATGTTAGCAGTTCAAACAATTAATGTACCTCATAATTGTTGTGTATTCTAACTGAAAAATAAGTACACGGAAAAAATACTTCTAACTATTAGTACGTACGGTTCACTTTCGATAAATATTATTTTTATGGTTATTTATATAAGTAGGTATGTATTTTTCCTGTAGTATTGTTGCATAGAATTGTATTATTTATATTCAAATATTTTTATTGTTTTGTTTTACGTGTAACGAATAATATAAAATGTTCAAGGTTGTTATAAGCAGTAATCTCAGAGAAGATGGTGATACAGTGGCCAAATTCGGCACTGCAAAGGGTTGGTTCCCCTAGACATGTGTGATGGCGAAGTGAGTATCCGGATTAAGTCTAGGTGCTGATGATCACTGATGGCTATAATGGGTAAGAATATGGAATTACATTACCTTTTCTTTCCGGTGGTATAGGTTCTGGTCTAGTTCTAATCGGGCGGCGAGTTATCCTTGCTTGCCGGTCGGAAACTCGCATACTTAGGCTGCAGCTGGAGATCGTCGAGCGACTCCCGACGACCAGTGTGTCTCCTGTGGTGGCTGGTCCGTGAGAAGCACAGTTCTCTCCTCTTCTTTACGAGTATGACTGCTTTGCAGAAGAAGCCGACGGCTTCTTATGTACTCTCGCTTTGCACTATGACCTCGATTAGGGACAAGCGCGAGAAATCCCTGATACCTTAGGGGATTTTTTACAGACAATGTATAAACGAATACTGAAACGGCATCATAGAAAACCAGTGTGAAACAAGCACAGCGTTTTGTTTCGCCGTATCAGTTTACCAGGTTACCGGAGGCCCAATCCTTCCCCTCCTATATGCCTAAAACTCCCAAATCCCTAATCCCCAAAAGGTCAGCAACGCACTCGTAACTCCTCTGCTGTTGCGGGTATCCATGGGCGGCAAATAAATAACAACAACGTATAAAAAAACAGCGTCATACATTAAACAATTATAGATAAATGATTTTTATAGGTTTTATAAATGCAAATGAAACATCAAATTAATTCTAGTCCTATTATTTAAATTATCCACAGAACACGTTCAATATATTTGAATAGGATTCGCTTTAAAACAATATTGTTAAAGTTGAGATGAATTTGTCTAACTGGATTAGAATTAAACTTTTCAGACATAGCGACTTCATTTAATTTCACCTCGCGATATATTTTCCAAAAACAAGATGGCGTACTGAATACGTGACGGAGAACTGTTTCGTAATTAAAAGTTTAATTTGAAAACGTGTGTCATGGATTCAAAGAAACAGGTACTGATAATTTGTTTTTCTATATTTAGAATAACGTAAAATAGAGATTGCTTTTTCACAAGAATCATCAGTGAGAGGAGTGTCAGACTCTTACTGTAACCTTACATGTAGCGGATTCCATTCCCGCCCGGAACAACTCTCAGTTTAATCCACATACTGTTGTTCCGGGTTTGGTTGTGACGTGTATGTGAAACTATATGTTTGTTAGCGCATCCATGATACAGGAGAAAATCCTAGTGTAGGACTACGTTTTATAAAGTACTTACTAAAACCAACCCATTCTCCTGCCTCAAACAGCCAATAGACTACCACAGACGGGGTCCTATAGGGCTGATGTTCAGCTGGGGTTGCGGGGTAAGCGCAATGAAGCACTGCGACCTCGGCCCAGAGCAGGAGAAGAAACGGGGGGGTTTTAAGTCAATAAGGTTCTGATACTCCCTCCTTCCTCCTTCCAGAAGTCATTTTATGAATTTCCCTTCACAACTTTGAACTGCGCCATGATACTACATCACCTTTCCACAAGGCAACTCAGGCAATTCAAGATTGTGGTGTTGATTATGTGATAGGGAAGTGCGACTGCCGGGTTCCATTAAGAAGTAAGACAAAGAATTTTCGTTTCTTCAAATGACATAAAATTATAAAATCTGCCGAATAGTCATGGCCACCCGAAAGTTAAGGAATGCCTGCATCTCATGCATGAGGGTACGGTTTGAAACGTAGTAAGTACCAATGTGACTTTTGCCGAGTTATATGTACTTTCTATGATTATTTAGACACCAATGGCATACGGTGAAAGAAACATCGTGAGGAAAACTGGACTTATAGTTATTAATTTAAAGTTTGAAATTGCTAATCCGCTTTGAGCAAGTGTAGCAATCCCCGTGTGCACTTATATGCAGATGATGTGATAAAATCTACTGAATAATTAACGAACCGACAACCTGGATGTTATTTTATTTAAGCACATAACTTTAGTAGTATATGTTACTTTAATAGTATACATAACGTAGTCAAGGTCATAAACAGACCTGCGGCCACGGTAGAGCCAATACCGGTCCGGGGATGCGACGAATGCTTCGGCGATACCCGCCCCTCCGACACATGGGTAAATGGAGAAACACCGGGTTGGTTTTTAGTCAGTTAGAGTCTGACAGTATCCTTCGCCCTTCCCCGAGGGCGGTGTGTCTCCACGAGGATTTTCCAACCCGATACCAAAAAAAAGTCAACGTCATAAACCCCATATTACAAAACCAGATTCATCTTTAGTCTAGTTTCAAACAACCGATGCCCGGTTTCTGAAAGCCCGGTCAATGTTAAAATCAACTAACTAGGTGTCAAATCTCTTGTCAAGTCCTCTGATTGGTTGTTGATAATTCAGTCAACCAATCAGATGACTTGACAAGAGATTAAATTGATTTTAACCTTGATCGGCCTTTCGGAAAACGGGGTGTAGTCAGGTTTTGTATTTTTAATCTTGTTCTCACTTACCTTCAATTCGATATTCAAAAACTGGCTCAATGGTTAAGACCTAGACCAAAGAAAAACCTAGTTTTGTTATAAGGCCAACAGAGTTCTTTTAAGTTATCGGCAATTTAATGCTATGACTACACTAGAAGAAATTTAAATAAAATAAATAAATTTAATGCTATGACTACACTAGAAGAAATTGGATTACATTACGTCAGACTAAGTTTAAACTACACATTGGTTCCCGTTGATGTATACAAGAATAAATTCACTAATACTGTGGGTGCAAAAACATACTTCGTTGAAAACTTTTAAAAGATGTTTTTTTTTCACATTGGGCAGCTTGAAATAACAGTTAGGTAAACCAAAATTGAGAAGATCCCCCTGCCCTTCAATCAGTTACTGGTCGCAGTTTAAAAACCATTTTTAATGTTATAGGATGGATTACCAAGCATACGTGTTATCTGATACTCGTAGTAAGCAATCAGCGCTGCCCATAGACACCGCAACAACGGAGGAGTTTCAACTGCGTTGCCGACCTTTTGAGGATGAGGGGAAGGATGGGACCTCCGCCAACCTCACTAAAACGGCGAAACACAACGCTGTGGTTTGTTCACGCCGGTTTTCTCTTTACCTTATCCTGATCTGAGATAGTGGAGCTCAAGGTTAATAAAATTAAAAAAACAGTACATACTCACTGGTAATGCATTGTTCTTTGTAATATTAATCAGCACTCAAGTAGCATAGCACAAGTGCTTCACTTGAAGTATCTCTGTTACTGTAAACAGTGGTGTTTATTTACTTTTAACACTCAACTCGACTAGTTTCAAACCTTGACAAGGGCCCGTAATTATTTACGGAGTGCGAACATTGAGAATTGCGCCAATGAAATGACCATTAATCTGGTAAAACAGTTATGTGGGTAAGCCGTTCTAACATATTTTTTAATCATAGAAGATCGGTGATAAAACAATTGGCAGATATTTTTATTTTTATGTAATAAGTCGGCAAAGGAGCAGGCGGATTACGTGATGGTAAGCAATCAGCGCCGCCCATTGACATGGACGCAATGGAGGACTTGCGAGTGCGTTGCTGGCCTTTTAGGGATTAGGGATTTGGAGATTTAGGGATTGGAGAAGGGTCGGGGGAGGATTGGGCCTCCGGTAACCTCACTCACAAGGCGAAACACAACGGCGATATAGTCACAAATACAACAAACTGCAAGCGTCACTTGCGCGAGCAATAAGCATTGACATAAATACATAACATTTTATTTAATTCATTCACTTTCTCTAGTAAAATCATGACGCAAGAGTAGGTACAACATTATCAACATAATTGTAGTGGAAAGGTTAATTTTTTTCACTAAAACCCGCACCTATTTACAAGTAAAATTACCATATTACGTACCATTAGATGTTTGCTTCAATTAGTTATCTGTGGCAAGCCTATTGCGACCTAGACATACTATTTCAAATTCAATGAAGTATATACATACATATGTTAATATATTTACACCCTTTGTAGGTATACACATAACTGCAAAAGAATGGAATTTTGTTCCGCGCTATATTTATCTTAATTGGCAAGAAAAATATTTTTAGTGTGGAAAATTAAAATATTTTTCTTTGACCGTTAAACGCCATTTGTTTATCATTCATTGTAAATGGCATTTAACGGTCAAAGAAAATATTTTAAGTCTTGTCACACAAGCTGGTGGTCGGCTGGTGAAATATTTTCTTCCACCATCATCATCATCATCATCATCAGCCTATAAGTGCCCACTACTGAGCAAAGGCCTCTTCTCATACGGAGAAGGTTAGAGCATTAATCACCATGTTTGGTCAAAGCGGGTTGGCGATTTCAAACTTATAATTAGAAATTATAAATCCAGGTTTCCTCACGATTTTAACTTCACCGTATGTAAGTGGTGTCTAAATAATCATAGAAAGTACATAGGTATAACTCATAATTTCTTCCACCATTACCGTGTAATAAATCGGCCAACAAATACGAATAACTGTCGCGTAGAATAAATATTAACATGTGGAAACTCGATTATATGTAACTACACGTGTATGAATAAAAGTATTTTGATTACATTATAACAATTTGGTAGCGTTTATACACTGCTTCTTCTTGTTATAGATAGCAGAAACTATCGTTAAATAAAAATGGCGACTCGAAAAGTAAATATAAAAATGTTATTCGATTAAGGTGAGTTGAGAAATAAATATACAGCACTTTTTTTATTTTTAAAACCGGTGCCCCACTTTAGGATTTTCTCCTGTGTTGTGGGTGCGTTTACAAACATACGATTTCACATACACAACACACCCAGACGCGGAACAACAATTTGTAGATCACACAAAGTGTTGTTTCGTGCGGGAATCGAACCCGCGACACGTTACACAGTAGCCAGTTGCCCAGCCACCGCGCCAACCGTGCAGTCAAATTGATAGGTCTGTATGCATAGAGGTAACATGCTTTAGTGTATAGAGAGGCTCTTTGGAAACTCAGGTCTTCTTAGAGATGTGCTGTAACAGACATTGCGCATAAGGTACCAATAAGGTACCGCGACCTCGGTTTAAAGCAGGAGAAGTAACGGGTTGATTTTATTCAGTAAGAGTCTGTCTCCCCCCGAGCGTACGGCGCGTAGCGTTCCGCGCGCGCCACAAAGAGCCAATAGACCACCATAGACAGGGCCCTATAGGGCTGATGTTCAGCCGGGGTTGCGGGGTAAGCGCAATGAGGTCCGCGACCTCGGCCCAGAGCAGGAGAAGGAACAGGGGGGTTTTTAATCAGTAAAAGTCTGACACTCCCTCCTCCTGCCCGGCCCTGGGCGGGAGAAGGCATTTGATGATTTTCCCCCCACAAAAAAAACAAAAAAAAAGAGTCTTTCTCCCAACTTGTACGAGAGAAGTCATTTGATGATTTTTCGCCGTATAAAAAGGCATTGTACAGTGAGGACTCCGGATTAAGTCTACAAGAGGATAAAGGGCTGACACTCCTTCGGGTGGTAGAATTCATCTGATGATGATGTTGGCCCTTCAAAAAAAAATCCAGTTGCTCAGACACTGCGTCATCCTTGCAGTTAATAATATGAAGATTACTCCTTTTAATGATGATTACTCCTTTTAATGATACATATGAATTTATTCTGAAACAATTCATCTATGTACCAAGGCGACAATCAACGATTTGTTTACTAACAATATTTACAACGATCATGACCTAATTAGGTACATAAATTTTAAGTGTGGGAGAGCCATGCTTCGGCACGAATGGGTCGGCTCGACCGGAGTGATACCATGGCCTCACAGAAAACCGGTTTGAAACAACCACAGCGTTGTGTTTCAAAATCAAATCAAAAATGTTTATTTGTCAGAATATGGTACAATAGATGTTACAGTTTTGATTCCAGCATATCCTGCCATACTATGGCGTACAAATATTCCTGTATAATACGAATTAATAAAATGTCAATATTATTTATAGTATTAAAGTTGCTGTATTGATTTTGTAAATATTATTAAAATAATTATTATAATTTCGCCATGTGAGTGAGGTTACCGGAGACCCAATCATTCCCCTCCCCCAATCCCTTCTCAATCCCTAAATCTCCAAATCCCTAATCCCTAAAAGGTCGGCAACACACTCTTAACTCCTCCGTTGCGAGTGTCCATGAGCGGCTGATTGCTTACCATCAGGTAATCCGTCTGCTCGTTTGCCGACCTATTACAGTGCATACACAGTTCTTCAAAAATCTTGTCCTTACTGTCAAGTAATACTGTGGACAAACAAAAAAGGCGATAATACTTCACAAACCTTTTAGAACAATGCATTTAATCTGTAATCATGCAATAAGCTTATCTATACATCAAGGATGCACTCTTTAACTTGACATACAAATGTACAATTCAAAGAATCTGTAGCAAATAGTTGCATACCTACGTTATCTTTTAAATATAAGCCCTGTGTGTATACGGCATCCGATCAGTACTAACCACTCTAAGCAAAATGATAATATTCTATCTGTTTGTCTGTGTGTCCTTTCTACAGACATGCTTGACGGATAATGGTAATAATTACATAATGTATAGTAACCACAAAATGTATCATATTCAAGGAAACGAAGATGGAATGGATAAAGCTATGGATTTTCTTACGGAGAATTATGTGAGTTTATTTATTTATTTATTAGGTTACAAACGATTGTTTACACTGATACATAACCACTTGTAACTACTAAACTTATGAGAGTAAGGTGTGGCACTCACTTAAACACATTATGAATATATTTCTAGTTATAGAACCAGATAGATTAATTAACACAATTATTATTCTATATTCTGAAAAAAATAAAACGTTTGAAAATAAATTAAAGTGAGTTGTTTTGTTTATTTTTTGCTCGCCTGGCTGACTAGTTGACTTCTGGTCCTTAACTACCTGGAGTATCATGTGGAACTGAAGATGTATTCTTTGGGTGCATCTTTGACGTGGTAGTTGTAGTTTTACCATATTCTGACAAATAATCATTTTTGATTTTATTTTGGCGACCAGTTACCGTTCCATTATGGGTGCGATTCCTGCACGGAACAACTCTTTACGTGATCCACAAATTACATATTTTCTTATTAGGTCTGTTAGTGGGCTAGGTGCTTATAGTTGTTCCAATTGTGTCATATAGTAGCTACTCCATACTTCTTCATCTTACCGTTTCTTTCGAAGCACATTTTTCATTGAATTTTGTGTACAATTGGCCTTCAGATTTATGTACTGTATGTCCTGAAGTCTGTCTGTGTACTTAATAAATACAAATATATCTATGTCTACATTATATATAAAAAAATAACGCTGCTACGACGCAGGGGCAAATTCTAAAGTGGGGCAAAGTAAAAAGAATAATACTATCTACTTTGTTACGTCACAATTAAGTGTATCAAAATAATTAGTTAGAGTTTTTTTTTAAATTACTAGGTTTTTGTAGGAACCGTGTTATACTATTTTATCTTAATTGCCTTCTATTGTAGAACGGTATTATGTAATGCTTTATTTATACTTATTACTATTTAATGTTTTATTCCTGCATATCAAGACGAACTTGTGTTTTCAAAGACGAATTCATCTACAAATTTAATTTTAATACTAAAGTAAACTTTTACCACACTAATATTTTATCCTATGTCGAGAGTGCGAATAAATACCTATATATGTATATCACTCAAAAAAATATGCCGAACGGCAGTCGGAAGAATTTGTATAATCAAATCGAAAACTGCAGAAATATTTCTGAAGGTCATTGATAAGTCACGTGGTCAACAATTACTTAAATCCCCATGCATAAGTAACTAAAGATTATCGATACTGACCTTGGCTAGGAGGGCTGTATCAACATTTATTATATTTTTAAATACGTTGCCTCACTCTAAGGTACCTAATCATCTCCTGTATCGTGGGTGCATTTACAAACATTATAATGTCTTTTACACATCACGTCCTGATCCAGCACAACAATTTGCAGATCACACAAAGAGTTGTTTCATTCCGGAGTCGAATCCGCGACACGTTGCGCGGCAGCTAGTTGCCCAGCCGCCGAGCCAACTGTGCAAATTTTAAACTTTCATTGTGTACCATCTAGGATATACCATACCACTCAAGAACCGAGAAAGGCTGTCATATGCTGGTCGCTCCAGAGCTGGCGCCGATCGTAGAAGGCATCTCGCAAACTTATGGACTTGCCACAAAAGTCATATACGATGATTTTTCCGAGTAAGTATGGAAGTTGTTTTTAAATGTGCTTAAGTCAAACCAATTAAAAAATAAATATGGCTACGGTAATGAATTAAATAAAATTATTGTGTACAAAATTTTGAATAAAATAAAAAAACAAACAAAGGCATTCCTGCAGTACAACTTTATTAGTTAGGTACTAGATAAACTCGCGCGGTTTCAACCGCTGCTTGATGTTTTATAGCCTATAGCACTTGGGAACATTATAGCTATCTATCAGTGAAAGAATTTTGGAAATCCGACCAGCGGTTCCAAAGATTACCCCCTATATACAAACTTACACTTAAAAATGTTACCTCTTTATAATATAGGGTATAGATGTATTACCGCACAAAATGGTCCGTCATACCTAGACCTAAACGTAGAAGTACATTTCTATGGTAGTTTACGCACTGCATCCTTCATCCGATTTCCAAATGTTGACCTATGTAGTTTTCTCAACCTGTGAAAACGCTTTAATATCTAATAGAATTGATGAAATGATCACACCAGAAAATTGAGGACTTAAACTAATTATTCAAGTTACGATAGGCTATTCGATTTTTTTTTATTTTTTTAGATTAATTCGTGTCGAGAAAAATAACAAACGAGCCAATGAAGAATTTTCATGGACTGCTTACTATGATGTGGATGACGTATGTATATACTTTAACTATCTATACATTACAATGGTTATTATGTTTAACTATCTGGCGTCCCGCCCACGCTCCGCACGGGTGCAGCGCTGATACCATTTTTTTACTTAATGTATGTTTTATTAGCATTTCCGATTCAATCACAAACTTATTTATTAAAAAACAAATCAAAATCTGTTGCGTATTTTAAAGATTAAGTCCTGTACATAGGGATTTACGGTCAGGAAAACCGACTTTGTTTTATACGACAGTGTTTTACAAATATTTCGTGCTTATGTGTACCAGATTTACAACTATCTACAAAACATGAGTGACCAGCATCCACAATGGGCGCAGTTGGTGGTCGGTGGCCAGAGCTACGAAGGTCGCCAGATTCTGGGTCTTAGAATCAATACACCCACTGATGTGAACAAACCTGTTATGTTCATTGAGTCAGGTATAAAAGCACTTGTACACCGTTTTCTGTAGTTTTAACCTAGATTTCAATTGAAGGATGATGACATGTCTGTTTTGTCTGAACTGAAATTAACTATCTCAATATCCAACACTCAGTTTTTTGGCCCATAAAACTTTTTTAAAAGAAACCAAAATATTGTTAATCGAGATTTCTTCACTAGATCTCCACACTCACATTGACTGCTACATATTTATTTACTGCAAATTGTTATCAATCAATCTGTACGAGGAAAATCAAATTCTTCCATATTATATCCGACAGCCATACATATAATAAAATTCAAATTTATTTCGCCTTTTGTGTTACAATTGGCCAGTATTATCATAATCACATTCCATATCCGAATCATTCTCTTTTGAATCGCTGCCAGAGATAAGGAAGAGAGTAGGAAAGTGAAATGTATTTTTTTTTATTTGTATGTACAGTCAGGAGTCAAAAATGCAATTACACTCTACCAATTTTAAAATAACTAAAATTTCTTTGTAGTAAAAGTTCAATGGTTCACAGCCAGTTTATTCAATAATTTAGATACTATGCTATAAATTAAAGCAGTCCTCAACCATTGACTCTATTCTACAAAGATGTTTTGGTCGTTTTAAAATTGGTGTGATGTTTCCATATTTGAAAAGTTATTTTTTTCACAAAAGAAGCAATATCAAATACTTTAAATTTATTAAGTTTGGTTCCCCATTTGCCAGGTATTCATGCAAGAGAATGGATAACTCCTGCCACGACGACGTACTTCATCAATGAACTACTGACCAGTTCTGACCCTGAAATTATGGAAATGAGGGACCTATTTGACTGGCATATCTTTCCGACAGTCAATCCTGATGGATACCACTACAGTTATACCAGGGTGAGTTCATCTCCATTGTCATATTATCTGCCTAGGATAATTAAATCCATTTTTTTTTTTCGTGTAATAAGTCGGCAAACGAGCGGACGGATTACCTGATGGTAAGCAATCAACGCCGCCCATGGACACCCGCAACGGTAGAGTTACGAGTGCGTTGCCGACCTTTTAGGGATTAGGGATTTGGAGATTTAGGGATTGGGGAAGGGTTCGGGAAGGAGAAGGATTGGGCCTCCGGTAACCTCACTCACACGGCGAAACACAACGCTGTGGTTGTTTCACGCCGGTTTTCTGTGAGGCCCATTCGTGCCGAAGCATGGCTCTCCCACACTTAAATAATAAGTGCATATAAGTGTGAGAGAGACATGCTTTGACACTAATTGCTTTGACTGGTTGACTGTAAGCGTTCTTATAGAAAAGCGGCTTGATACAACGCTTACACGTATATTTTGCTGTAGCCAATACCTTGCTTTGGCTTGGTCCAATACTTACCCCCTTGCATATCCTATTGGCAAATCCTTAATCCCTCAAAAAAACGGCTACACTCTTGTATGTTTCCCTATCTTATCTTGATATTGCGAGTGGCCATGGTTGTGCTATATAACATGAGGTGATCTCAAATTCCTTCATGCTGCACTCATAATTATTCTGGTGTGGCGATGCCGGTTGTTTACCATCAAGCAATACGTTTGCAAAAGGTAAAAAAAAATCTACAATACTACTGGATTTAGTTCATCGCTTACCTACCTGTTTTCAGCGATGGTTAACAATAATAACGCGCTTTTAAATGACCTTGGTTCCTATTTTAAAACAAGAATGAGTTCGTTTCTAGTCATAATTCAGAATTGGTCAAGGAAAACTAGCCATGGTGGAATTTCAATACGTTTCCTTGTTTTGTAGGAGGAAATAAAACCAATGTCCTAATTTAATACCTAAATGGATTTATCTGAATTGTTTACATAAAACATTGTCCACTCGAGTATTTTATAGAGACAGAAGGTATAAAATAGATAACAAATAAAATTAAATAGTGTAAGAAACCAACTTACATAAACTATGTGATATCACGGCGACGTTTTGGTTATATTACGTACTAGCTAGTTTTGCTTATTTTCACTCGCTGCTCTTATGTCTTCTTTGATAAATGGAGTAACAAACAAAAATGAATTGTTCAATTTGAACCTGTAGTTCCGGAGATAAGCGCGGTCAAACAAACAAACTCTTTAGCTTTATAATATTAGTATAGATGAGATAGGCTACTGGTGGCTCGATCCTCTTTTTTCCAATCCCACATTCCCTATCCTTTAATACTTGACCCTCAAAAGGCAATGGCGATGCAATTGAACTTAGATGCTGAGTCTTAAACGCTATTTTACCTTAATTACAAGAAGACGCAAATATGTGGTTTACAGGAAATCTCCTGTGTAAAATATAGGTATTCTATCTCGTTACTATATTTTAAATATTATTATTCATCCTAACGTATTTCTTTAGGACTGAACTGACACTTGTCCTAAATATTTTTGTCGAGCAGACTCATTCGTGCGGAAACTTGGCTCTCCACACTTTTCTACCAACAGTCTTATTAAACTGTGATTAGGAATTCATCTGAGCTACTTGATTTTTAAGTGAAATGTGTACTATCGATTATTCAATTTGTAACATAAAACTGGTCCCTTAACGGGGTAGACAGACAGCCTCAGTTATGTTATTATTGCCTCGTAATTGGCCGCGAGCCAATTGCTATTCACTGAACATGATTCCTAACTCCGTGTTATGAATGGGAATCACCTAATCGATGGGCTATAATACTCTTAGACAAGTTCTAATCTGAGGATCACTAGGGCATTCACACATTTGTTATGTTCCTAGCCGAGGCGTACCTTATTGTTTCTTTTTTTTATGTAATAGAGCCGACGGATTATCTGGCGCCGCAACGGAGGAGTTAAGAGTGCATTGCCGACCTTTTAGGGATTAGGGATTTTTAGATTTAGGGATTGAGGAGGAATTGGGGGAGGGAAGGGATTGGGCCTCCGGTAACCTCACTCTGTGATTATTTCACGCCGGTTTTCTGCGAGGCCGTGGTATCACTCCGGTCAAGCCGACCCATTCCCTAGCAAAAAAATATTAAATAAAGGACTTTGAACATGCATTTGATGTCAAAAAGTACTGTTATTACTAATACACTAATACTTAAGTGATAAAAATATTATTGTCACCAGGATCGAATGTGGAGAAAAACTAGGTCTCCCTCACCTAACGGATGTGTCGGCACTGACGCTAATAGGAACTGGGACTATAATTGGATGGGTAAGATCACATCATTAGCCTATAAGTGTCCACTGCTGAGCAAATACCTCTTCTTTCTTGTTCTGGAGAAGAAATGGGCATTACTCACAATGCTTCCTTAAGGTGGATTGGCGATTCCAAACTTCTTATTAGACATTTATGTATGTATTGTAGTGTTTGTACGTGATAGGTTGGCAAAAGAGCAGACATATTACCTGATGGAAAGCAACTGGCACCGCCTACGGACAACAGCGTAACATCTGAGAAGTAACGAGTGCGTTACTGGCCTTTTGTAAATCAGACTTTAGGAGATTCAGGGGAAGGATTTGGTCCCTGGCAAAATCGACCTGTGTGATGATTTCTAAGTGCTCAGACAGGTTGAAGTTCATGTAACAGTAGTCCTCATGAATGAAAAGCGGATACTTTAACTTTAGGCCACCACCACAGTGATTATTAGTAATAAAACTACCTACAATTTTTAAGATTGTCGGTGTGTAGGTTTTGTTGGTATCTTTGAAACCGTTAGTCGGATTTCCGAATTGTTTTACTCGTTGATAGATAGCTACAATGTTCCTGAGTTACATAGGCTATAAATTATTTTTAATTTGCGTATTTTAGTCGAGCAATCACTTTAAACGCTGCTCTTTTTAAAATCCCGGGATAGTAACAAATAAAACTTACCCAATTTCTTTTCCAGATTACGGTTCATCAAGCAATCCATGCAACTACCAGACGTATGCAGGCTCTCAACCATTCTCAGAGATAGAGACTCGGTCTCTCTCGGAGTACATATCAGGACTTGAGAACATGCTAGGGTACATTTCCTTCCATGCCGACGCACAATGTTGCTACTACCCTACTCTGATTCAAGCGAACATATTGATAATTATGACGATTTGGTAAGGCATTCAATATTTTTTAACCATATTCAAGTGCGGCAGAATGATGTCGCAAAAGAGCGGGGAATAACATAAAATAAATTCTCTCGCCGAGCCCTGGAGGGAATGTCCGACTCTTACTGATTTCAAAACAACCCGTTTCTTTTTCTGATCCGGTCCTGGACCTTGGGTGTACATATTTTTGCGCTTGCAAACTGGTATTATTTGTATTGAATCACCACTGCGTTGCCGGTACTTCTCGAAGTTATTTGGCTTTTCCTCTTAATTTTATAACAATAGTAGCAGCTCGCCCCTGCTTTGCACGGGTCTCATCATTTCGCTTACGATGAAAGAGTCCCTATTACCCAACTCTCCCCTCTACTTTTCTAAAATTTTCTTTCATAACAACCTTCTCATGACAATAACACGCATAACAAAAAATTGGTCCAGGCATTATTGAGTTATGCGCTTACCAACATATTTTGCGATTCATTTTTATATATAACTAGCTGACCCGGCAGACTTCGTACTGCCTCATCGATAAATAAAATACCTAATCTTTTGTATAAAATGATTTTAAAACAAACAAAATAATTATTAATGAAAAAGCATTTATTGAATAAAGCATGAAGTTTTATTATTATTTTCGATACATCATGTTGCTTACTTAGAAATCAGAGTTTTCCTGAAATACTGGCTATTTATAAGGTTTAAATTTGATATTCACAGACACACACTGTGAAAATACAGTCTGTTAATTAATTTAAAGCTTTCTCATAAACTATATTTTTTGTTTTGTTTTGTGGTGCGTAAATAAACAAAGAAGACGGTTTTCCGACGCGCGAACACGCGACGTATAATTGTCCATGCGCGAAACAGGGAAACTCCAAGTTGATTCCACAAACTTCTAAAGACTGTCCTTGCGATTTATTTATGGTCATCGCAAAGGCCAGACGTACTGGAAATTGTAAGCGTTTAAAATCGAATGGTAAGTCCGTTGGAATCATCGGTATCCGCGGGATCAAGACGCAAACACATTAGCAGTTTCATCTTGTTGCAAAAATACTCGCATGTTAGTTGTTAAGTGGAGTGTCTTTACGTACTGCCACATATTTGATGATTTTAGGCATGCATTTAGTTCATCAGCAACAGTTGATCGGGGAATAACTGGAAGTGTCTGACGAAAATCACCTGACAACAGAATCATGGCCCCACCGAAAATATTTTGGTTGTCACGAAGATCTTTCAACGTTCTGTCCAGTGCCTCCTCTCCTCTTATGGGCCATTGTGCATTCATCCCAAACAATTAATTTGGACCCTGATGAATACCTGTAGGATCTTGGCCATTGCGCTATTTTTGGCGATGTTGCAAATTGGTGTTTCGGTGATTTGCATGTTCAGTGGTAATTTCAAGGCAGAATGTGCAGTTCGCCCGCTTTCGAGCAGAGTTGCAGCTATTCCAGATGAAGCCAACGCTAGAGCAACATCATTTCGCGATCTGATCCTCGCCAAAAGCAATGAAATTAAAAACGTTTTTCCGGTTCCTTCGGGAGCATCGAGGAAATAAATTCCACCAGATCCACTGTTCACAGCTTCTATCAAAGTGTCGTACGCAATTCTTTGTTGTTGATTTAATTGTGGAACATTTGTACGAACTGTTTCGGCCAATGCTTCAATGTCGTACTGATGTTCTCTTTGCAACTCGTGGTTTAATGCATCGTGCATATGACGATTCGGTGCTGTCATTCCCAAACACGACAATACTTTATTTGCCATCAATAAACACATATCTTCTATCATGATCAATGTGTCATTGTAAATTTCTTCAGTCATTTGTAGTGTAGGATTCATAGTTTGACGGCGCACACGATACAAAACATCCTCAGACATGTCATCTCTATACTTAACCCACAAATCTTTTGGATTCGAGGGGAAACATGTCGATATGATAATCGCAAACAATGAACGAATTTGATGCGGCGACGAAGATATTACGGAATCCTTGAGCGTATCATCCCAGTGCGAATCGTTCTCAAGTAAATGTAATAGTAAGTATATATATACTTACCTCACGGTAAGTCACACACAGCTGTCCATTAACTGTTCTCAGTTGTTTAAACGATGTCGGACCACGAACCAACAACAACCGCAAATAATAACATTCATCGTTATTTGGATGTACTGTGTAGATGCGACCCAGAGCATCTGAAGCAAATACATTTGGATGTCCTTCAACTGGTGTTCCTTGTTTTCGACGCTGAAACGATTTCGATGATGCGTTCCATGTGTAATAGCGTGGCATGTCAGCATACAGCAAAGAGCGAGCAAAATCATCAGTTTGACAGACTGTGAAGAAACTTGTTAATGTTGTCGACGGTGGATGTGCCGTCCTGTCTGCCGCGTTACATTCATTAAAATAAACTTGTTGACCATTTTCTAAATGGACTGCCAAATGGACTACTGTAGGATGTCTTTCATGGATCGCAAATGAAAAGATACGCCAAATAGCTTCGTTGCTACTTACATAGCGACCCATCTGGTACTGTGATATTTCATCATTTGCATTGGTTACACCAAAGACAGCCATATCACTATCTTTATTAACATATTTACATATGTACTTTATTGACTTCACAGAATTACAATATTCCACATTGATGTGAGTCTCAAAAGCTTTGGACAATGAAAGTTGTCGCGCACGTAGCCACAAAGATAGATATAACGATAATATAATTTTTTCCGTGCTCTGAAATGCGACAGGATGGAATGACATATCAGTTGGTTGTCAAATCTAATGTCAAATACATATTGAGATTGCGTTCAGAATTTAACTTAAGATTTATAATTTAATTTGTGACAAAACTTAAGATTTATCTTTCGATTTCTATATAGTCTTATTAAAAACATAATCGGACAGAGTAACAACTGAAGTTAGCTGAAATAAAAAAATAATCGGACAGAGTAACAACTGAAGTTAACTAAAATTGTGTTTATTTATGTACTATGTATTTTGAGACTATGCAATTTTGTCGCGTTCGCGATTCACTTTCACTTTTGTTGAGTTTCAGAACGCGATATTAGGTCCTCCAACGCGCACGCGAATTTGAACTTAATGCAACTTTATGCACTCCAAATAAAATGGAGAGTCAATTTGTAATAAATTACAAATTGACTCTCCATTTTATTTAGAAAACGTTTGTATGGGAAATAGAAAAATGCTGTTTTGAGGATTTTCCCGGCAATTATTCGAATTTTTCTCACCTTTTAAACCTTCCCTAGACCTCCACGAATAATTCAAGACCAAGATAAGATAAATCCGTTCAGCCGTTCTCGAGTTTTAGCGAGACTAACGAACAGCAATTGATTTTTATATATATAGATGTATAGATAGATAGAGTCTTACCTGTCAATACAATTAAAACTATTACTTTGTGCTTTTTGTACACAGATTTTCCTATTTTATGTTGTTTTTTCTATTGATGTTTTTTGATATAACTAATACAACTTTATTACAACTTATCTCTCAGAAACAAATCGGAGATGCATCTCTCAGACGAGGCTACGCAGTTAATAAAGCGAAGTATGATGGCCCTGGGACTGCTTCGGAAATTTTGTGTAAGTTTCTTTTTACAAGCAAATTGATTGTCAGGTGGTTAACAATACATGCCGCCCATGGACACCCATATCACTAGAAAAGTTACAAGTGCTTTGCTGGCTTTTTGGGGATTAGGGATTAAAGATTGAGGAATTGGATACGGTTGGAAAAAGGGGGAGGATTGGGCATCCGGTAACCTCACACACCCACAAGACAACGCTATGGTTGTTTCACGCTGGTTTCCTGTGAAGTCGTGGTATCACTCCAGTCAAATCAATCCATAAGTGGCGAAACTTGGTTATCCTAAACGTGAAATCTCTTAATTTCATCAAACAACAACTGGATCTTTGGCTAATTTTCATCTGACGGAGTTTTTGGTAATTTTATATTTTCAGACAAGGCATCAGGAGGTAGTATAGATTGGGTCAGGTATACCCAGGGTACTCGCCTTGTGTATGTTTACGAGCTTCGAGGAAGATTCTTCCAGTGGCCTGCCAGCAGGATCCACCAGCAAGGAGACGAGGTCACACAGATGATGGCCGGCCTAGTCTCGGAAGCCCGCAACTTGGGATACTTCTAGAAATATTCTTTCTTTTGACAAGGTTACTAAAATAATGCAAAATTATTTTTAGAAAGTTACAAAAAAGTACTGTAAATATATTTTTTGAAGTTTACACAATTTTTTTATTTGTTACATAATATTCTTAGTTTGTTAAGTAAATATAAGTTTTCTGGTAGTCACTTTTAATTACACCCTCTAATCTTTTGAAAAGAAATTAAAACAAGAACAAAATTAGCTCTTAACCATGTTATTTATTTCTTTATTTTAAAACTATTCTAGTCACACACTTAATTAAACTATACAAAAAATATAAAACAAAATAATCCTAGAGATTTCATAACTTTGTTATAAATAAGTTACTAATTATGTTAATGTTAGGCATGCATGGGAAGGAAAAATAAATTTTTAAATTATGGAACAATAGGTACGGTTTATGAAGTAAAAAAGGAGCTGAAAATAATAAAAAAATATATATATTTTCCTTTTTTTGTTTACACGGATGATGGGTCAATCACTGGGTGAATTATTATAACAATTTATTATGAACCAAAGGTTTAAAAATATGTTAGTGCTATTGGACTAACACACACAATACAACTGCTTCGATCATTCTTGTGTAGTATTTTTTACACCATCCGATCCGATTCTATCAAGTTTCTGGCGCTGGTTATCACATCTATTTTATAAGAAAGACTTCTTATCAAATTGGATACTTATATTTTATTAGTTTCATAATTTAATATATACTGACAATGTGTCAACAAAACGTCTATATGTTAATAATATTCGAATTTTGTAAAGGTTACAATCAAATATAGTAAAGCATAAATAAAAATATTATCGCTTGAAATTGCATCGGATTATGTAAACACATTTTATAAGGTCGATGTAGGCGTTGATATCAAATACCGATTTTGAATTAGACAATATGAAATCGGTTTAAAAATAGTTGACAAAAATAGCATACATTGTTTTGTATTTTTTTTAGTTACATTTATTTTGTTTCTCTTTAGCTTAGGTAGGTTTGTCTTCAACTAATCCTACGTTATCATTCGTGGTCACTGGTCGTGGATCATCGAAGGGAGAATCGTCATCGACTTCCATTTGTAACTGAAAAAAAAAACAAATATACTTTTACATATCTGTATTAATATTAATTCAAAATGTGTTGGTAAGCCCATAACTCAACAACGCCTGAATCAGGAGTTTTTGTCAGGAGAATGTTTTTAACAAAGAAAATATTACAAAAGAAGTAAGGAAAATTGGGAAAAAGTGACCCTTACGTTGTTACCGTGCGAAGCGGGATCCGGCCGCTAGTTTATATATACAGAATATTATTATATTTTCTTATAAAATAATGAAAAAAGTTATTTAAAATAACGGCTAACTCACGAGAATTAACTGAGCACAACCAAATCTAACCATTGGGCTACGCACCGTGGTCATGACTCACACACTCTCATGAATAGGACTCTCATTGAGATTTGAATCTCGTTAAACTTGTTTTTAGTTAATTCACGTGATTAAGTCGTTATTTTCAATGCACAGTTTAACATATTTCTGTGTTGTACGAGAAATTACGAAAAAAAATTGTAATGGTTCAGTTCCGTTAAATAAAACGTATAAAAAAAGTTGTCAGTGTTTCTACTCCAACACCCTTAGACGCAGCAGATAAAAGTTAAGTTAGTATAGTTTATAAAAGCTTTGTAATTTCATTTCAAAACTTCATTGAAAGAAATAATTTAATTAATTTGTTAATACGTACACCCTCAGCCGGGCCATCCATCGCTGAAGCATGGATACTTCGTTTCTGCAACAAGTAATTGGTTTGAGCATTAATCACCACGCTTGCTTAAGGAACATTAACGATTTCATACATAAAATATAAAATTATGAGTCCAGGTTTCTTCACCTTACTCGAGAAGTAGGCGCGCTAATCTGCGGACCAGCTCGATTATATATGTATACATATATAATTAGCACTTTATGTTGTTTTAGTTGGTAGGTTTATACATACAATAAGTTAAGCAGCATTATTAAAAGTATAGAGTTCCGAAACCTATACAGAACTCCTTTTAAAATTTGAATGTCAATTTATTAGCATTTTATTTAATTTTATTCTTCGTTTTTTTTTTAAAGACTTTCTACGTAGGGACAAAAAGTCCCATATATCATATCTTACAATCTACTTATTAAATATACTTTAAATAAAATCCAACGGTCATATTTCTATGACATTTAAATAAAAAATAATAATACTTACAATACTCTGTCTTCTCACCGATTCTTTAGCTATTAGAAGATTTTTCTTTTGTTTCCTTTTGAAGAATCCGTACTGAAACAAATTGTTGGAAAGTTGTTAAATGTCGACTAGTCCATGCTACAAATAATGAACAGTGGTCTTCGATTACATTGTCAGGTTAGGAAAAGTATGATTGTGTTTTTTTATAAGTGCACCTTCATATCACAGGCTCTAGGGCGTCTAATACGAGACCTTCGCCGGGCAATTAACCTTCAATTGATATGTTCGATTTTGGAAACGTCCAGTTCTTATTAAATGTGCTATGTTTCTGTGATCGGTGCTTCACATCACAATATCAGCCTATAAGTGCCTATTGCTGAGCAAAGGCCTCACATGGAGAAAAGGTTTGAGAATTAATCACGACGCTTTCTCAAGGTGTATTGGCCATTTCAAATTTATAATTCGAAATTATGTGTGTGTTAACATTCTTTTTAGAACAAAACAGTATAAATTAAAGAATAACTTACCTTGTAAAGAATGAATGTAATGATTGCTAATAGTATGAGCGCCACCAATAGTGCTATCAAAGAAATTAGCAGCTTGTTACTACCTAACGTTATTTCTTTAACTATTGGTATTTCATTGTTCACACTGAAAATAAATAATTATAAAGGTTTATTGAGTTATCCTTTGTTAGTCGTTTCGTTGAAGTCGTAACACGACTAAAGTTTTGTCAAGAAATGGATGAATTAATAAAATAAACTTACAGTGTATTTAGTGGTGGTAATCTATTGTCCAAATATAACGTACTTGTAGAATTTGTCAGAAGCTTTTGATTGACCAAGTATTTTTCTGTAATGGAAAAAAAATACTTGAGAGAGAGTACTGTGAGTCTAAAATATTAGGTTACTATCCTTGTAAAAAAGTTGTAAGTAAACTTGTGGGGAGAAATATGATTCGGTAAGAAGGAGCCGGCTCGACTGGAGTGATACCACGGTTTTACAGAAAACCAGCGTGCAACCACTTGCGCTGTGTTTTGCCGTGTGAGTGAGGTTACTGCCAACCCTCCCTTAATTTCCCCCTTAATTTCCCCCTCCAATACCCACAAGAGACCGGCAACGCACTTTCCTTTCCTTTGGTGTTGCGGGTGTCCGTAGAAGACGCCGAATGCTCGTATCCCAAAAAAAATGTATAGACAACTCAAATCTCACCTGCCAGTCTAGTCAAAATAACTCCTTTGGTATTACAATTGTGTCTATGGGCGGTGCCGATTGCTTAATATCATGTAATCCATCTGCACTTTTACCGATCCATGGTATAAAAAAATATACAATAATAAAATGGCGTCTTTTTTTCTTAGAATATACTTACTTAGTTCGCCAGCATTTATTTTAGCGGTCCCAGTAATTATCTGCGTTGAATTTGGCATTATGTCTAGAACGCAACGGTGGACAATATAAAAGACATCTTCTATCCGTGCGCATTCGCCGAAATCCATTGTTGATATCTGCATAAATTTATAATCATTATCTAATTATTTTTTAAACATCATTACAACATATATAATGCCATCTCAAAGAAGCTAAATTATATGGACCGAATTTTATATGTATTTATTTATTGATCTTCAGATTTGAGTAAGTATTTTAGTTTTCTTTAGTAGAAAATTATACAAAAATGAAAAATACTTACTGTAAAAGATTTCAAGTATTCAAGTTTGTTCATTTTGATTTCCATTTCAACTTTCTTCCAAGTCATGAACCCGCTGTTTTGAATCTTGAAACGTTAAAAGCAGGATTAGTAGAACAATATAAAATTTTAAACACCATACACCATCATCATCATCATCATTAGCCTATAAGTGCCCACTGCTGAGCTAAGGCCTGTTCTCACACGGAGAAGGTTTGAGCATTAATCACCACGTTTGCCCAATGCGGGTTGCCGATTTCAACAACAACAACTTGTAGTGTTATGTATTAAAGTCCAGGTTTCCTCACGATGTTTACCTTCACCGTATGTCAATGGTGTCTAAATGATCATAGAAAGTACATATAACTCGGAAAAAGTTACATTGGTACTTGCCAGGTTCTGAACCCACACCCTCATGCATGAGAAGCGGGCTCCTTAACCTACGGGCCTCCACGACCACACCATACACGTATAAATAAACATCCAGGTCTTTTGTGGAGTGCGCGAGGAATGCCACTAACAGAAAAAAGTGGAGAAAAATCGCCAAATCGCAAATGGAAAAAAAACCAAGGACATCCCATGACCACGACTACTCTGACATCCAATGACCACGACTGCTCTGACAAAAGTGTACAATTAAAACGAGGTAAATAAAGAAAATTCGGTATCAATTTTCTTGAATAAATGTTTGTAACAGCATTGTAGATTGTTCTTCTCTTACTAAAATTTAATTATATTAAATTTTGAAATTTTTTTACTTCAAATATTTTGCTTTCAAACTTATGTTTTAAAATTATAACCCTTTTTTAACCTTCACTACCATTCCTTTTTTGCCAGGTTTGGAAGGCTATCGTTCGAGAAAAGCGCGCCTTCCGGTCACCATGGCAAAGCCTTAGAGATAATTACATATGTAATTCAAATATGAAGTTACTTACCACATATTCATGATCATCATAAACAATATTAGAATCTCTTATCTGTTTGTCTGTGATGTTCATCCTGTGAGCATAACTGGAAAAGGATTTTAAACAACATTTTAGTGATTAGTTATAAGTATAGTGATTTATATTTGGTGATTAGTATATTCTTCTAATGGGAAGCCTCACCACCACTCCACTTACAAACATAGAATTTCACATACACATCACACCCAGACCTGGAACAACAATTTGTGGATCACACAAAGACTTGTTCCGTGCGGGAGTCGAACCTGCGACACGTTGCGCGGCAGCCAGTTGCCCAGCATCTCAAAAATCCTAGCCTATTGTATTCCTTCCTCATTGTATTGTATATTATTTTATTTTAAGTCTAATATATACAATAATTAATGAAATAGTACTAACCCACTTAGTGAAATGTCACCTGAATTCAATGTGTATGGTACACTAATAGAATCAGTAGTGATCAGTTTTTGATTACAAATTTCGTACAACTTTACTTCGACTTGCAGCTCTTTTTCAATATTTGTAACCGTCGTCATGTTCAGGAGAAGGTTTATTGTGCACTGGAAATACGAAAAAGAAAAAGAAATTATGGAAGCAATAATTAATATGAAATGATTTTAAATCTCCTGATAAATATTCTGAGTCATCGCCAGTTGTAACTTGCCCCACTTTAGGATTTTCTCCTGTGTTGTGGGTTCGTTTACAAACATACAATATCACATACAAATGACACCCAGACCCGAAACAACAATTTGAGGATCACACAAAGTGTTGTTCCGTACGGGAATCGAACCCGCGACACGTTGCACGGCAGCCAATGGCCAGCCACCGCACCAATCGTGCAGTCAAGCTACATCTTTATTTCGATATTCCGTGCTTCTTCTTCACATTACTTATAAAGCGGTTAAATTTGTAACATTGTATGTAGGGGGTAATCTTTGGAACAGCTCGTTAGATTTCCAAATGCTTTCGATAGATAGCTGCAATGTTCTTGAGTGCTATAGGCTATAAAAAATCACCATACGACCAATAGAAGCCAAATGCGACAGTTGTTAGTTACAAGGAATAAAATAAAAAAAAATATTTTTAATGATATTCTCTTCTTACTTTAGTCTCCCTCCTCATAGGTCTGTCGAGGTAACACTTGTACCCTCCGTTGTAATCTTCGCAGTCGCCTCGATTTAAAGCCGCCCCGCTCACTTTCACCCAAACGCAGGAGTCGTAGGACGCATTGCCATCGTTCCTGACATTAATCGTCACTGTCTCATTCGCAGAGGAGCCAACCGTGTAATTTTTACTAAAAATAATATTAAAATGTATTATGAGTGAATTATTAACTGCACCTTTGCATCCTTCGAGGGATTCTCAAGTAAAAAACGTAACATAGAAAATCTTGCCGCTCATTAGGATTTTTTCCTGTGCCGTGGATGCGTTCACAAACATAATTTAACACACACATGACACCCAGACCCATAACAACAATTTGAGGATTACAAAAAAGTTGTTTTTTTTTTAATGGGACAAGTCACTCTACACTCTACTCGTCTTGTAAGCCAGGATCTACAGTATATATATCCAATAAATGTTGAAACACTGAAGTTTAGCGTTTCCCAGGGATATGACTGTTTTGGATCCCGCAACGAAATAAATCAGAATAATTCTAAGCAGAAAAAAAATAAGTAGTTTCAATTTCCCCCAGAGAACTTTATGAAGGTTACAGACTGAGCCTTATAGGCACAAAAGAGATTTATAATTGTGATTATTTTTAATTTCTTACCTGCCAGACCATAGCAGCTCCATAGATAGATTAGGAATACAATCATCTCCTTTGCAGTGTCTGGGCACATCTATACTGGTAACCAATTTACTATTGGGGCCTCCTAATACCCATGAAGAGTTGAATTCTGTTGACAAAACAAAATACTAGATTACCTAAACTTTTTTTACTACTATTTTTTAATCTTTGCCCTATACTAGGATGTTCTCCTGTGTCATGGGTGCGTTTCGAACATATAATTTCACAAACACATAACACCCAGACCCGGAACAACAATTTGTGGATCACACAAAGAGTTGTTGCGTGCGGGAATCGAACCCACGACAGGTCGCGTGGCTGCCAGTTGCCCAACCACCGCGCCAACCGTGCAGTCCTTACCTAACCAGTTGCACAAAATATGGAAGCTTATTTTTACTAACTTAAATGCTCCAATCGGGAAGCAACCAATGCGATGTCTCCCATGGACGTTCAACACCAGAGAAGTTCATTATAAACGGCGCGATAATGGACTTTAGGTCATTGAAGAATTTAGGCATTTGGGATATAGGGATTGTGAGAAGATTAGGTCTTCGTAACATCACTGACACATGGAAATACGCAGCTTCACGCTCGGTACTTACAAGTCAGGCTGTAATCTGCTGGCTCTCTAAAATTTTAATATGAACAATTAAGTCTTGATTTTTATTTATCCCTTAATATGAAGAACGACCAAGACATTGTATGAAGTCAGTGCCTCGCCATATTATAGGTGATGTTACGGCGATCGATTTGGCGGATAACCTTGTGGTAAGCAATCGGCGCCAACCGCAACAACAGAGGAGTCGCTAGTGCGTTGCCAGTCTTTTGGGATATATGAGGATTTAGGTAATAGGAGGGGTCACAATCCTTCCCACAATCACAATTCTTCCCTTCTTGGTAAGGGAACCAAGAAGGGAAGAATTGTGATTGTGGTAACTTCACTAACTACACTGGTCTGATTTTTTGGGGCTTAAAAGGTCTATTAATAGTGGCATGCTATTATTAAAATTATTACCAACCTGAATTATTGGGACGCATGAGGTAATCGTTTTTTATTTCAGCTCGTGAAACAAATTTATAGTCGCCTGGCTCTTTGTCTTCCTGTAATATGTATATTTTTTTAAGAAAACAATTTGCAATAATAATGATTGTTGTATATGGAATTATAATTGTTGATATTATTAATTTTATAGATATATAAAAGTTTAGGAACCGCTGAACACATTTTATGATTTTATTCATAAAAAACATATACAGAACCATATTATTGGTATTCGTGTTGCTTTTAATTCTATTTTGAACTTTTCAATAGCTATTTTGATAATCGGAGCAAAACAAAAACATATTTCGATATAAACCGCAGAAAATAAAATATATTTGCTGAAAGTATCAAAATCAGCTCATGAAAATGCAATTCGTAAAGAAGTACTTCATTTACAATATAGAATTTAACGATACGTACTTATAGGACTATTTCTTGACATCGAACCTACTTACACTTAATTAATTCTACGACTATTTGATATTTTCGGCAAAGATCCGCAATAAAACAAATGTATCGGAAAACAATTGAATAAGTCGATCTTTTATGACGTTACATCTGAGTCGAGATAAATAGAGAAAATTGGGTTTTTAACGAAACTCTGCTCTGCCATAAGTAAAGACTTGAGAACCCATTTTACTACTGTAAGCCTCCATTACACGTACGGGTTTGCCATACTCTAAATACTTTCCATATGAATTGATGGTCACTGTTAATAGCTTATGTTTAGCAGAAAGTCCTTTTTTGGAGAGAAATTAATCAAGTGACTTCTTTGTTCTGCGTGGGGTGAGGGAGTGTCAGACTCTAACTGATTAAAAACCTCCCCGTTCTTTCTCCTGGCAGAGGTCCCAGTACATCAATGCGCTTGTCGCCGCAATCGCAACAATCAAAATGCGCCGCTATGCAATTTCTGACAAATTTATAGACCCTCAATCGTCTATAATGTTTAAGGCAATAAATTAACTTAATATCGCGGGTTGCTCACATGTGTAATTGAGAAAAGTTTTCGGTACTAGTTTCGAACCACAGAGGGGTTCTTCCTCATGAGCAGCGTGCGCGGACACGGCGACGTCGCGCAGCTTCTACTATCAGTAGGCTGTGCGACGTCCGGCAGCTTCTACTATCAGTAGGTTGTGCGACGTCGCCGTGTCTGCGCACGCTGCTCATGAGAAAGAACCCCTCTGTGGTTCGAAACTAGTAGAGCTTTTCTCAATTACACATGTGAGTAACCCGCGATTTTTAGTTAATTTAAGGCAATAATTTGTAGTTTTTTAATTCCCCAACATCTACAGAGTTTAAACAAAAAAATATATTTAAGTTACTTATTTACCAGTAGCACAGTAACATTTTCACAAATCGGCCTGTCTCTTGGACAACCGGTACATGTAATAGATTTTATAAATGTTGGATCGGGAATGGTCGCTGCCTGACCGATGATAGCGTTGGAAACTTCTATATCTGTAAGGAAACGTTTCACAATCAGCATGACAACAATATGAAACAATATATAATAAGAGCAGACATCACGAATGGGAAGACTTGACAGAAGTGATACCACGGTCTTACAGAAAACGAGTTTGAAACAACAAACATTGTGCATTTTGTTTCACTGTGTGAGTAAGGTGACCCATAACCAAAAGGGCCCAAGGCTCTTGATTATCCTTTCCCCGTACTCATCCCAATCCTCAAATACTCCCCTGACCCCAATAGGCCAGCCAACGTACTTGCAACTCTCCGATTCTGCGGGTATTATATCATCAGATGGTATACACGCTCGTTAGAAAACCTATTCTTTGAATAATGGTAAGACTTGGCTTGAGATGGGAAGTTTTAAAAATTCAGGTTTATTAGAGAACGCTGCTGCCTAGGAGCTGTTTAACGTTTAGTTACTTAGTCAGCTTCACGACATACAGTTAATATCACGAAGTGCGGGCAAGTAGGAATGGGCCAGCTCGATCGGAATAATATTATGCAAGTTTTCTGTGAGGCCGCTTATAGAAAACCGTCGTCACTCAACGCTTGCCTTATATTTCACTGTATGATTCAGGTTATTGGAAGCCTAATCTTGCACTCCCCATTCTGAATCGCCAAATACCTAAACTCCGTAGTGTGGCTAGCTTGTTTACCACCAGGTGCCCCGTGGTATGGTATTTTCTCCTGAGTCACAGGTTGGTCCATATGATTTAGTTCGAATCAATAATAGAACTAGCTCCGTTTTACAATGCAATTATTGTATTATTATAAGTATCACTCATCCCACCTCTTTAAGGAATGGTATGATAATAATATTGTACCTATAACTTACATGCGGTAATCTCAAGTGGATACTCAGGTAGCTGCACTCGTGCGCAAACATTCACTACAAATTGCTCGTCTTGTTCTTTTACAATCTGTTGGTAAATGAGAATAACTAAATATTAACTTAAGCTATAAAAAAAACAGTACGCCATGTCTAAGGATGTTACTGAATATTTAAAAAAAATGTGAAAAAAAAGAATAATTTGAATATTTTTGTGTCGACTTTGTACGTTACTTGCAAAGAAAGTTACCTGTTCTCCGATTAGGCTGCTCGATAGAGTAACAGTGATTTTCTGTACACATTTGAAAAATACTGCTGTACCTGTACTAGGTGATCCAGCTACCAGTTCTGTAAAATGAGCTTTTTTATAATAGCACTGCCTGGTCATTTATTTGAAAGCCGTCTTTATCTTATGTAATAGATTTGCTGTCTTTATTATTACCGATGCACGTCATTATATCTGTTAACGGAAATGTATGTAATCCGTCATTGTATACAATTCCTAGGAAATTTATATAATTCCTAAATTTGCTCGGAAATGTGTGAAATAAATTTTATAACACACATTTCCTAGTAAATCTATACATTTCCTAAATAGGTAACGGAAGTGTATTACTTTAAAGATTTTCATTCGTATGCGTTTATACGGCATATTACTGTTTAATTGACAGACTGATTAGTTACCAAATGATAGAGCTTTATAAGAAAATATAAGTAGTTTTTGTTCTAGATGGGCCTTAAAATTTAGTAAATAGTTTTGTTTTTGTAGCTTAGTTAGTAAGCCGGAAGAAGATATTATATTTTACGATGTGATTGTTACCTAATTGTTTCAACCGGAGTCTTAATAATAAATCTGTTTCTAAGTTTAACAACGTGTTTTTTTAATTTTAATAAAAGAAAGCATGGTTTTATACATTTCCTAATACGATATAGGAATTTTATACAATTTCTAGGAAATGTATACATTTCCCAGGATATGTATGTATTAAATAATGTTTGGAACAATATTTTACATATTTCCTATATAGCTTCGGGAATTGTATACATTTCCTAGTAATTGTATATAATTCCTAGGTTTCGTACATTTCCGGTAACATATCTACCAAAAAGCGAAGACTTAAACGTAGACCTCCCCCATTTATTTCTAAATCGACCGGTTACAATCGATCTTGTGGGTTAACCTCCTAAGCTATGCAACCGGCTACGCTCTGGTATTATGCACAATTAACTCATAAAGCTTGGAAATTATGAGATGTTTAAAATTTTGTGTATATAATTGCAATAGAAAACAAAGTTCTTCAAACCTTTACACCCATTACTGTCAATATCTTCAACGAATTGCAGACTAAACCCAAGGTTAGTGTGTTCTTTTTTGTGAATCTTCTGCGTCAGCTTGAGGTCTGATAGCAATATTGTCTTATGGTCCTGCACCTTCATCAGAACGTCGTAAACTTCGTGACCTGCCAGTATGTAGATAGCTCCTTTCCCTTCGTTCTCGTATGGAGCACTTACAACTATTTCTGTAACGATATGTCCAGTTTTAGTATTATCATTTTGGAGATTATTTAATTCAGATACTAGATTTAGCTAATTTCTCTTTGAATTTTATTTTGAGGTTATACCGACATAAATCACAAAATTGTATTGTCTTTAAGAGTTTGAAAACATGGTTATTAAAAAAAATAGTAAAGCAATGTTAAAAAAGTTATTATAACTGCTCCATATAAACCGCCAGCAGAATTTTGTGAAAACTTAGTTCAGATTCTAATTGGAAGAAATAACAACACCAGAACAAAAGAAAATTCCACTAACCTGGTTTGTTGTCACCATCTACGTCATTTGCGACTATCGCTGAACCAAATCGTCCAAAGCTAGAGGTGCCCAATATTGTTCGCTGTCTTTTCCGATCGTTTATCGTTGCCTGTGAACCAACAAATTTGTATACCAATAGACACGTTTTTCCTTTACAGTTCAGAAATTTATCATTTTTAAAAGCTGAGTTCAGTTTTGACTAGCAATAAAATCCACTAGCTAAAATTATGGTGTTATCTAATACCTGGTCTCCTCCCAAATATATGTGCAGCGCTCCACATTCATAGCACTCGTCTTCAGACAATGCAGGTGCACCTACGAGCAGTTCATCCAAACCATCTATGTTGAGGTCTTTAGCACTCAGAGCAGAACCAAACATGGCACCGATGGCTTTATTAACCAACGTCACTTCTTTGCGATCTTTAATTTTTAAAGAAAGTACTTTTCTTTTTGAATTGTATTTCAAAAATGCTATCTGCAAAATGAAGATAATATATATAGATCCAATTATTTTGATCATCCGTCACACACGTAAAAATATACGACAGCTTATTATATGTACAATGTAGGAAATTAAAAGAAGAGAAAGGAGTTTTTATGCCATTGGTCAAAGTAATACTACAAATTAATGAACAGACTTTTCAGAATCTAAATTTGTCTTGATATTTATTGAAAATAATGACTTATTCTCGTGACATGTAGAGCTGTTCTCAATTAATTCAGGTAAATATGTAATTATTAAAAAATGACTATTTGACGATAGTTATTATAGAACTTGATATGTTTATTTGAACACATGCTGTTAAATATGTAATTCATTTAGTACTCACTTCGCCTTCCATATTCTTACTTTCCATACTGAATGCGTACTCTGTAACGTCTGAAAAAAACTTCCCAGCAGTAACAGCATAACCTAAACAAAAGACGAATTCAATTTGAAAATGTGCGTCATGAGGTTGGTCCGTCAAATTGTAAGAGTAAAATTTATTAGAACCAAATTCGGTGTAAGGACATTTAGTACAAAATTTGAATTTAAATAAACAAAAATTGAGACGAATTCTTAGAAGCTTAAAATTTCCCGTTCTGGAGTTTCAAATAGGTATCTGGGGTAGATTAATCAACAAAAAAATGGTCTCAAGATTCAACAACAAGTCAACTTTTGTGTCACACTAATGTTTGAAGAAAGCGAACTCATTACACATCCCACAACATCTTATAGCACAACAGTCGTGCAGTGCAGGTATCTTATCTTAATTTTACCTATGTTCCAACGGCTTGATAAAAACACACGATTCCTTTGGGTTGCCGCAAAAGATTTAGTTTCTCCCAAGGGATCCAACAGCGGTGTATACAAAAAGTCTCCCTGCAGCGAAGTTTTAACAGTGAGCAATAATCCATTTGTTTTATCTGCTAAAGTGGTCCATCCAGTACCACCTGTGATTAAAGCTGGAAGACAAATAAACAATTCGTCATCATGCTACCATTATTATCAAAATCACCAAAGTAGCCAGTTCTTTACAAAAAATTGAGGTTTTATGAAGTTTTGGTATAGTAATTTTCAGTCACGTTAAAGACTATACTGAATTAGTTCTGTACACCGAATACTCGTGAATTAATTCCGTGACATAGTAAGAGCCCCGTGGCGTGGCTTGAAACTGATTGAGTTACACCGTTGGACAGTCACGTGAGTAAACCATAATTAAGATACCATACATAGATAGTTCTAACATAAAACGTATTATGAACAGTTACTGAACATGATAAAGATAACGCTTACCAAAATCCGTCAATGAAATTTTTTTGTCCAAGTATCGTTCTAATGTGCCCTGGTATCTAGTTGGACCATCCCTTTTATACACAAAGCATGTTCCAAAAACATCTCTTATTTCTTCACTTGATGATGTTATATTCGTTGTCCACAAAGGGGCACAAGTCTGAGGACAATAATAATAAGTAAAAAGAAAATATTTTTAAACATTGCTCACACTAAGATAATCTCCTGTGCCATGGTGAAGTTAATAAATACTTGAATTGAGTTCACTTTAGGACTAGAGTAGTAACAATAATTTGCGGAATATGTATAAAAAAATGTGCCGGAGTCGTATCCACGATTCATTGCACGGTAGCCGATAGAGTAATGATAAAATATTGAGATTTTTGCACTTTCTCAACACCACCATTACTATAATCATCATCGCAGAATAATAAAACTGAAGGTCAGTGCAGGTACCTAAAAATTGACACGAGACAACTTGGATTATTATTTCAAGTTGTTCATATTTATGTTTTGCCTTGTTTTTGAGGGATGATTATCACATGACTTCTCCCGCCCCAAGATTATGAGAAAGAAAGACTTAGTGACTAAAATTCACACTGTTCCAAGCCGGGCCATTAGACATGTACCCGCAACTGAATGCTAAAAGCTAGGCCTGAATTAACACAGCGACATAAATGCAATATTTAGAGTTTTTTTCGTTTTTGTAACGCTTTTGAAGTTAAGTAGAAGTCAATGATAGAGACAAGAATTTACCCGTACTTACATAGATATAATCTGAAGTTGCGGCTATCGAAGCTCCTAAATGAAATCGCTGATCAGGACAGCGATCTAAAAAAAGAATAAAACATCTTTAAACTTCCACTTTTCATTAGGACTTGATAGCGGAGATTTTAAACCATATTTATGACAGAAACGAGGGTATATACTTATATAGTAAACTCTGGTCACCGAACTGGATACTATTAATTAGAATCCAGATTTAACTGATTATGAACTCGCTTTGTTGGGTGTTTCAAGAGCATTGCCGGTCTTTCGGAGATTAGGGATCCGTGACTCAGAGATGAGGGGACGTTTAGCCCTCTTGTGCCAATTCTGTTGCTTCACGCCGGTTTTTAGGAGTTCGTCAGATCACTCTATTCATGCCGAAACTAGACTCTCCCATAGTAAAAAAGAACAGTAAACCTTACGCACTATTTTCATATTCTGGCTCATCTACTTCTATGAACAAATCTTTGCAATCAACTTGTTTCTGGCTAAATGCTGCTTCTAAATTACAGCTGTACAATTTGCCTACATCATCCTCTGTTGGAGCGCCAACTACTGTAAAATGAGAATTAAAAATATAAGTTAATTCAAAAAACAAAAAAGCCTTGGAAATTTTGTTCAAAATAATTGAAGTAGTGTAGTGTTAGTCTGATATATGTTGAGTGAATAAATTGATGTTAAATTCACATATTGACATTATTTTCTTTTTATTATTTAAAATTGATACGTGACTAGAAATGGAAAGTGTGCGTAGAAGAAAAGAAAGCAGCATTTATTTTAAATAACAGTATAAAGATGAAGATCCTGTCACTCATCACTGATGCTTTAAAAGAATCTGAGAAAAATGCAAATTTGGTATTCAAAATATGTCTTGATTTATAATATTACAAATGCTATATACACTTACATAAACCCCCGAATGTACTACTGTAAGCCAATGAGAATCCAAAGTCTGTGTTGGTTGTATTTATTTCAGGCTTGATAGGTACACTTGATGGTTCGTGGAAGAACATGGAGGCAGCTGCTAAGTGTAGTACGTTGACCAGTGTCCATATTTCTAACATTTTTCTATCTGTGGAACAAGGCATTTAGGTATCATTAAAAGCTGAAAGATAGACACGTCCTCAGCTGAACAAAATTGCTGAGATTCCATTTCTCTTTACGTTCTCCACCTTTTTTTTGTCTAAGTACAATTTAGTTACTCACTTAGTCAAAAATTAATCTTACCCACTTTTACTTTCATTCACTGAGTTAGTGTTAAGAGAGCTATTTTCAATGAAATGTCAATGTTATTTAAAAACTTGTTATTAATAATAGACCAGATTTCCCGTTAAAATCGCAAAATTTGCGTGTTTCCACATTTAAAATACATAAATTCCATGATCTTTGCCCAGGAAACTAATATTTTTCCCTGTTCGGTACATTGATTTGTTAATATAGGTAGTCATTTCCTATTTGATCTAAAGTTTTTTTGAAAAGCAAAACCAAAATCAATTTTTCGGTACGGTAAAACTGATTGTGATTTTTAAGTAAGTGGACGCAGTTAAAATTGACATTATTAAAACTTAAATTCGACATTTAAATCCGTGGAAGCAAGTTGCGGCCCCTGGAGCAAGACAAGGCATGCGATGGTTTTCCTACCTCAAAAATAAGGTTTACCTAATCCCTGCCCTTCCCCCATCCCTGCCCAATCCGTATACATATAGTATATCCGAAAACCTTATCCCTAAAAGGCCGCCAACAAACTTGTAACTCCTCTGGTGTTGCGAGCGTTTTGGGACCTATAATATAAAAAAATACGTAGATACCTATAAGCAGAGGTAAGTGGGCTTGACCAGAGTGATATGGCCTCACAAAATACCGTGTAAGTTTGGTTAAGTTAGGTTAGGTTATCCCCTAAGAGTAGGCTACGAATGTATTTGGTGTTTAGCATCAGGTAATCAGTCTTCTCATTTGCCAGTAGGTATATCATATAAAACAAAACCTACTAAGCTAAATAAGTCACGCGGAATGGAAGAGGTCATAGGGTTCATGCACTATCAATGGCGTGGTTGTCACTGTGTCATTTATTGTATTTCTAGTTACTGTAGGTAACGACGCACACATTTCACATTTTGGACTTAAACAAGTGAATACTTAAAATTTTTACACAAATACAGTTTATACTACCATTAATTTTATTATAGTTTTTAATGCACTTCTGTAAGTACTAATATTATAAAGAGGTAAAATTTGTAAGTTTGTATGTAGGGGGTAATCTTTGGAACCACTGGTCGGATTCCCAAAATTCTTTCACTTATTGATAGCTGCAATGTTACCCGAGTGCTATATAGGCTGTAAAACATCACGCTACAATCAAATGGAGGCGAACAGCGAGTGAAACCGCGCGGGAGTAGCTAGTTTGTAATATAATACGAAGAATCACCTTAAATAATGCAGATGAAAAATAAACATACAGTTTAACAGGATAAGTATTTTTGAATGCTTATCATCATCTTTAGGTACCTACCTGTTAATATATGTATTAATATGTATTTGCACCACTAACCGTACTGCATATCTACCTACTTTGTTTAAAATGTTTAGGTTTTGGCAAACCGAAGCATTTACGAATAAAATTTGCCGTAATTAACCACTGCTTGTGATGGCATGCATGAGGTACGGTTTCGAAACTAAGCAAATAGCAATGTGACTTATCCGAGTTACATATTCTCTTTTCTATGATTATTTAGATACCACTGACATACAATGAAGGAGAATATTGCGACGAAACCTAAACTTATGCAATACGATTTATATACGAATATAGGCATGACATTATAGCATATCGTTATTCTTTTATTGGAGACTATCGGATCGCGCGAAATCTTTCGCTGTTTTAATCAAGAAACTGTTGAATACTAAAAGAATTGTTGAGTATTTCATCATTTATTCGTCTAATACTTATAGTATTTAGTTTTAAGATGACGTCATATTCTAACTCTAAAAATACTAATTCTAACTCCGAAATATACTAATATTAACCTCAAAAATAATCTAAGAATGAGTGTTTTTATATTTCATTACTAGAACATATTAAATGAAAAACAATTAACTGAGAAAACTACTATAGTCTTACATATGTATGTTATGTATCAGTCAGCATTTTCTTTAACCTTACTAATCTCAGCACTAAATGTCAATCAAATTAAAAACTGATTCTATATTTAGAAAACTTGAAACAACTGAGAGGCGAAGAATATGAAACAGGCATAATATTAGTTGACTCAACTGCCTGCCTGATTAATTAATATCATATGGATATAATAATACATCCTTACCTTTCATAGTGGTCCTTAATTTATTCACAAACTTAACACAAATGAAACAAACAATTTAAAACCACTCTGTTATTCTTCATAGTAGATTTTTAGAGTAAATCACATCAAAACTATTATTGTTAGGTTAACATTCGTTGCGAACGGACAAGCCTATAAGATGCGGTAATTACAAATGTAACGGGAAAACGGACGAAACTCGCTGTGCTTGTTGCGTGTACAAGTTTATTTCAATATTTCCTCATTTTGACAGGATATTTATTTAATTAATGCAGTGTCGAAAGGTCTGCTGGCTCCTTCGTAACTCCTCTAATGTTGCAGGTGGATACTATGGAACGGGCACAACGAACAGACTGATAGATTTATTGTATTTTGACGTTTCAAAGGGACCAATTTATGGTTTAATTGGATTAAAATGACTTTGACTTTCAATTTGACCTTGACCTTGATTTTGACTGTGATTCTGATTCTGACTCTGACTCTTGGTCTGGCTCTGACTCTGACTCTGACTCTGACTCTGACTCTGACACTGTCTCTGACTCTGAGTTTGATTCTGACTCTGACTTTGACTTTAACCCTGACTCTGAGTTTGATTCTGACTCTGACTTTGACTTTGACCCTAACTCTGACTCTGACTCTGACTCTGACTCTGACTCTGACCCTGACTCTGACTCTGACTCTGACTCTGACTCTGACTCTGACTCTGACTCTGACTCTGACTCTGACTCTGACTCTGACTCTGACTCTGACTTTGACTCTGACTCTGACTCTGACTCTGACTGTCAATCTCACTCTCACATGTTGCTTACCATTATCATCTTTTTTATGTGATGCGTCGGCAAACGAGCTGTTATCATTTGGTAGTTATGGGTTTGAGGATTCGGGGATGGCAATGAGGGGAAGGGAAGGCCTCTGGGAACCTCACTCACTTGACGAAACACAGCACTGTGGTTGTTTCACGAACGGTTTCCTGCAAGGCCGTAGTCAATCAGGTCGAGTCGGCCCACTCGTGACCCTCACACTCCCATTTCAAAATTTAAGTTCACATAAAAATTTACTGGTATGGAGTTATCATAGCATTAATACCATTAAATCTGTTTACATTTAGTATATCGAAATACAATGAATAAAAGTGTGATTGTTTTCAGTCCTTTCTCGTCCTCAACTGTGGACCCAAATTTCAATTATAACAAACAGTATTATTTTTTTCTACCGAGATATACCATAATGCGCTTGACTCGCAACCCTGACTTCAAATTTGTTTTAAGGAACTTAAAAAATAAAACGAATTATTATTACGGTGTTTTACAACTGGTGAATTTGACAGTCAACCAGTGGCTGGACAATATGGATTTCCATTTCAAATCATTATTTTTTGTTATACAAAAGTTGTTGTAACGCGCCTAGTGTATTGTGAATTTGTAAGTTTGCAAACGTACTTACGATATAGCAAAAACTATAAGGGTGTTGTTTTATTAAAACATATGTATATTCCTCTAAAGAAAAACGAAAAAAATATGATACCTAGTTATCAAGTTCCTTTTTTTCACAGGCAGTTTTAATTGGTAGTATAAAAAACTGGTATTAAATTCAGCTGAGTAACTTGATATACAGGATAAAATAATAAAGATTGATTCAATGCAGAACAAATTACGGTAATCAGAATATACATATACCCACGCATAAACCTATTCAGCCAGGGTTGCGGGGCAAGCGTAATAAGGTACCGCGGCCTCTAAAGTTATCTTTTTAAAAATGACACAGATAATAAAAATTTGGCAAATGTATATAATTTTGACCAAACACCTTATGTCCGTTTTTTGAAGGAAAACAATACCTACAACATTATATGTATACTATCTACCTACCTACCTACCTGCTACATACATATACATATTATGAAGATGTACATACATTATTATGTACGTGGCTTCCATTGTGCGAATACAATTTATTTTAGTTTATGAATAATAAATGAGACTAAATGAAATATTTTTCCGTATAACTATATGTACTTGTATATGTAAGTATGTCGTAAAACTAATTATAAATATACCTATTTCACCTTACATACTTTAGATTGTGGCTAATTAGCAGTGTAGTGACCACCACTACTGTTTTTTTATGTGATTGGCAAACGAGCAAACGGATTACCTGATTGTAAGCAGTTAGCGCCACTCATGGACACATCAACGAAGTAGTTATACGAATGCGTTACCGACCTTTTGGCAATTACAGATTTGAAAATTTATAGATATAGGGACACAGGAAGCGACTCTGTTTTATTCGATGTAGTTATAATTTCATCAGCCATAGAGCAATGCAACTTTAAAACATTTTCAAATATTTAAGCTAATTATGTACTTATTAAATGAAGAGTAACATGATAATATCGCGACACATATGAATTTATACACACACAAATGAAAACAAAAATATACTCACCTGAATTAACTGAGATAAGCTCTACTAGTTTCAAGTCACAACCGGACTCTTATCCATGAGCAGCGCACGCGTCGCCATAGCCGTTGTCGTGGAGATGTTCCTCAATTATTTAACGACGAAGAGTCGTAATTTTTAATATAAAAAATATATTAACAGTCATTAGCTAACATTTTAGGAATATCATTCTAGGAATGCCACATTTGTTATACTAATATTTAAATAAATAAAATAGTTTAAATTAAATATACCAATGTTCATATGTGTGTGTATATTGTGAAATTGAACAATAGATAATTGGTTTTCCAATAATTAGCAACATGCTCTCGCTAGCCGAACGAGTTAGTTTTTAACTAAACTCTGTATATTGTAGGAAAAGTTAGCACAATAGGATATCTAATAACGTTTTGTACACAGTATCATTTATTTATTTGTATACAGAAAATATATCAGAATGCAATGCATGTAAAAAAAAATTTAATTGGTAAAAGATATCTAACCATAATTATGACTGTACCAATAATGACCTCTTTTTTATTGACAAGAATGAATAACCAAAAAATAATTTTGTAAACTCATTCAATTCACTTCTATTACAAAAATAACACAGATAATATATACTTGTTTTCTTTTTTTTTACTTTTATGTTTGACGTCTCTATTTTAAAAGTAGTCATATTCCTTTATCGAAATGTCAAAAACGATACAGAGTGCCTTGTTTGAGTTTTCTACTTACAATTGATTGGTTGGTTAACTTGAAGCAGACCAAACCTTGAAGACCACCTTGCAGACCTTGAAGAAGATAATTCTAAAACAGGATAATTTTAATCACAACGGGCTAGGAAATCCCGAACGTCATAATCAGTTGATTCCACGAATGAAATCGGTGTTCAAATATACATGTATTATTTCCTTGACGTGACAACGCACATAGTAGATGAACAACTACAATTTTGAACGGATGACGTCACAAGTAAATTAGCACACAAACACCTATAAACGAATGCTTTTGTTTGTTAGAAAGAAGACATATAACAGATCATTGGCCCTCGCTGAGGAGTTTCAGATTTACTGATGTAGGGAGGTCAAGAATTGGGCCTCCAGTAACCCAACTTCCATGGCAGATTACACTGCCATGGAAGTTTTTATAAAAAGTAATGTCTCAATTAAAAACAATAGGTATAATTCAGTATACCAAAAGTCAAACTTTATATTTTTCCTGGATAATAATAATAGCTTGTGGCGAGCTGTTGGGCAGTGGCGACTCCACGGACCTGACTTCCGGGAGGTGTCTTGTCCTTCATCTCCGGTTAGTCCCCGTGACTAGCTGGAGTGAACACTGATGAGGAACAAGCCCTCCTACCTCATTCTTGCCTTAATTGGCTGGCTTGAGTGGAGATTCGCAAGAGTAGGAGTTGAAGGAGACTCAGGGGATATCTCAGTAAGGTGCTGGTAAGGGTCTTGACCGTACTTCCGGGATTGCTCTGATAGCCGTGGGATGCCTTGCCCCTTCCTCAAGCAGCTCAACGTATGTTGCCCACTTGTCACTACATGCTAGCGGCCGTTTTCGGGGGCCCATTAATTGAGTTTGCCAGTCACCCCCTGCCTGTTTATCCGTATGTATCAATATTGGTCAGGGGCCATAGTATTACCATAGTTATCATATCCACCATTCCATAGCAACCCATACCAATAACCCTATTAATTTTCACCACATTTCACAATTGTCCTGAATCAACCGGGGATTGTCCTTGGGTGCACTTACATAGTGCATACATGGATAATTGCCGGATGATGTCCCATCACATTTAGATTAAAACTGTTCAACGGGCCTCTGCGAGTTGGCTTCGGCTCCTCGTACGCTTTCCAAAGGTCCGGGACCCTGTGGTCCCGTGAAAGGAAAGAACAAACAAATAATAATAGCTGTGCACAGCTGCACACTGTATCTACGTAAGCTAAAACCGACATTACGTATTGTATAATTAACGTATATATTACAACTTTGATGTTTCAAATGCGAGTAGGATCGTAAAACACGTTTTCAAATTAAACTTTTAATTACTAAACACTTCTCCGTCACGTATTCAGTACGCCATCTTGTTTTTGGAAAATGTATCGCGAGGTAAGGATATTTTTTACTGCCTCAATGCCTCGTTCATCGAATCTTATGACTTTGGAGCAAGGGGCATTGAATTCGATGTCGATTCTGTCCAAGTATTATTGGGTTTTGTTGGTCATCATCAGCCTATAAGTCATCATCAGCCCAGTGCTGAGCAAAGGCCTCTTCTCATACGGAGAAGGTTAGAGCATTGATCACCACGCTTGCTCAATGCGGGTTGGCGATTTCAAACTTGTAATTAGAAATTATAAGTGCAGGTTTCCTCACAATGTTTACCTTCACCGTATGTCAGTGGTGTCTAAATAATCATAGGAAGTACATATAACTCGGAAAAAGTCACATGGTTTTGGTATTTTTCGGTATTTAAAAAATGGCAAGATGCCTGTTAGTAATTGGCCAGTAATGGCCAAGTTTAATTACTATTGGTTCAGTAGTTTCTAAGACTTTTGA